ATCTAGTTATATAGACAGAGTACCGAGTCCTTGGTGATATCTAGTTATATAGACAGAGTACCGAGTCCTTGGTGATATCTAGTTATATAGACAGAGTACCGAGTCCTTGGTGATATCTAGTTATATAGACAGAGTACCGAGTCCTTGGTGATATCTAGTTGTAGTGACAGAGTACCGAGTCCTTGGTGATATCTAGTTGTAGTGACAGAGTACCGAGTCCTTGGTGATATCTAGTTATATAGACAGAGTACCGAGTCCTTGGTGATATCTAGTTATATAGACAGAGTACCGAGTCCTTGGTGATATCTGGTTGTATTGACTAAGTGACGAGTCCATTTTTCTACAAGTTTCTTCCGGACGTTTCTTTCGACTTTGTTTCCACTGTTGGAATCTGTGCACAATTCGGAGAGAAAATGTATAGCAATATGTTGGTGTATTGATTTATGTCGAAGTTTCAACGCCCTAATCAGGGATTCCTAACTCATTTACAAATTTTAAAATCTTGTTAGCAGAGACTTTAATCAAATTGCACGCTAGTTCAATACACATCACTGTTAGATTCCTGCTATGCCTTTCATCTCGTACAGGCAAACAAGACAATTGTAAGTTGTAGAGAACACTCGTGCATGTTTACTATCAGCCACAAGCGGTAGAAGATGTGTATCTAAATAAACTGATGTTACATGAACCCCGATGTTTTTCTAACTAAACGTCCACTCGTTTTTAGCATTTGGCAGAGATGTTTGGATTTTATCTCTACACGGAAAAGCATACCCTTAGAGCATGGAATACCCGGTGTGGCTGTAAGAATGACCCCGCGTATTGCAACTGTATACAATATTCAACAAACACAAGGAAACTTAGATCAAATATAGGGCTTGTAAAACACTAAAACTACTCAAAGAAGATAGAAACAGATGAGGACATACGACTGAAAAGTAAGAACCCTTGTTGGTGTTCTCTGGGTTTGTGTTAATGAGAAACAGCTCGTGTAGGTATTGTGAGATATCTCAACATTTTGTAAATACATGTAATTTTCTTATCATCGTGAACAAAACAGTTTCTGCCCTAATATTTGATAACTCCCTAATGTATACCATTACAAGGTAGGACTTTCTGGTTTTTAGTTTTAGGAAGTTTAAGCTAAATTTGACGAAGAAGCTTAATACATTGAAGTAGAACTTTTTTAACCTTCCTCATTCCACATTTAGATAATGTAGGACGTTTTGGTCTTGACTTTCCCGCTTTATAGAATTCTTAAATGAAAATACTTCAGTCCCGTAGTCCGGGGGTGCTAGCACGTTCAAATAAACGTGGGGCTCTATAATAGCTTTGACTTGCTGATAGGATTGTCCATACTATCATTTCAATGTTCTACCCGTAAAGCATTAGTATCCGGCGACGGTTTAAGTAAGTGAATAGATTCTCATCAGTTAGAAAACTTTTGTTTTGTTACATCACTTATCACCATTTGGAATTGGCGTAACCAAATGGCTTGCTTGAACTGTCGCTTTGAAAGTTTATTTTTATATTTCGGACACGTCCTAGTCGATGTTTTGGTATCGCTTTGTGGTATGGTCTCTAAGTGCCGTTTTGTCTGTCTTGGACTCGGTTTGTTTCTGTTCCTGTCACGTAATTTTTACCGACTTCTGTGTCTATCTGGTGTTTACTTAGTCCAAATCATCTTCCAGTTTCTCCGATATTTGGTGCGTCGCTATTCTTGAATCCGATTTAGTTTTGGTAGGCCACGACATGTTACAATCGACATGGAAAACTTAAGTATTATACTTATGAGCCACAAGCAAATTAGATACCAGAACTATTACAAACAAACGCTTTTAACCAAAATTGAAAACAAGAAATCATATCCATCAAATACACAAAAATTTATTTATATCATCAAGTATCTGGATTGTATGCGCGTGATCATAATACTGGCTATGTATTTGAAATCTCGTTAAGTTCATGCCCATAATACACTGAAGTTAAAGTGCTAGTATATAATATCTACAATAGTGTTATATATAAACTTAATCACACCTAATCATTATTGTATGTTAGTGGAAGCCAGGGAAATATCACAGTAAGCACAACCTAGTATAACACACCCCCTGGTGTAGGCTTGACATTTGTATTGATAGCACTGGAAAATATTTCTTAGATTCATTAATGAGCATAGCTGAGAAATGTATTCATAATATTGTTACATTGTGTTACATCATAATTGTTAGCCTTGTAATAATCCTACAACAAAAGTTGTTACATTGTGTTACATCATAATTGTTAGCCTTGTAATAATCCTACAACGAAAGTTGTTACATTGTGTTACATCATAATTGTTAGCCTTGTAATAATCCTACAACAAAAGTTGTTACATTGTGTTACATCATAATTGTTAGCCTTGTAAGAATCCTACATCATATGATGTCCCTGGTCTATTATAGACTTACTACAAGATTATCTGTCTGTGTAAACCCATTGGTTAAGTTGTACTGTTATAGAAACTTGCAGTTGAAGCCATTTTTATATATACAGAAGAGGTACAGTTTTCTTCATCATATGGAAGCTGGTTATGTATTGGTTACTAAAAATAAATAACCTTATGTTCACACCAGTACAAGGTATCTAGAGTTGTAAATCTGATACTACATGTCACTGTTAGATCTACAATACAGTGAGGTTCCAGTGATATGTCTGTGTATAATCGCTAATATTAAACTTAGTTAGACTTAATTCAACTCTCCTGTTATAAAGCAATCATTTTATGAAATATAACATCATATTGTAAGTGTGCAAAATGAAAAAGATAATCTTTTTATTAAGAATCCATTAAATACATCTAAGACAAAATAAAAATGGAGATAGGTGACAATATCGCCAACACTCTACTCTGTATCCCAAACAGATGTTTGTTCAGCACTACATGTACAACACATCTTCTACCAGTCCATGGTTTCCAACCACAACCAATTGGATGTACTTGCAATATCAACAACTGAACACACCATTGGCTCAGAAATAAGACATATTTATATGAAGTGGCTCCAATTAAGCATCAAAGAAAATAACTCCAATATATTTAAACAGACCCATACAATATTTCTAGTCTACATCCCCAACAGTCTCAGCCTGCTCAAAAATGAGAAAAATCCAGTTTTACATTGGAGGCATAAAGCTAGAAACACAACAAAGTGTCAACATAGCACCTCATCATGTAAATGAGAGTAAATTCAAGCTTAGCAACCAAAAGTAAAGAAATATACAGAACACATATCTTGATATAAAAAGGGAGATAATTCCTATGACTCTCCCCATAGAGTGATGAGTATTGATGCTAATAGGCTACTCCACAGGTAGGCGTGCTAGTCATTACTTACTTTCCCAGTGTTGTTAGCTACAAGTACAGTAAAGCCTATCTAATACGAGCAGGAAAATATTTTGTGAATTAGATACTTATGGTCCATCTTATTTAATAACGTCTCATAAATCATGGCACATCTCAGTTTCTTCACAATCATTTAAAAATTTAAGTACAGAAAATATCTATATTAACAAAAGTGTTTCTATCGTATGTTAAAATAAGCATTTAGTATGATCCCAGCATACTTATCAACAACAAATAGTGTGAAACCGTCTATATTTACAACAAAACTGATACTCTGGTAGAAATGTTTAACGTAATCATTTAAGTATCTATGTATGTATATCTGGTAAACTATGTGTGTGTACAATATGACAAGTTTTTTTTATGAACAACTTAGTCTACAAAACAGGCAAGTAATTGATTTCATGAAATATATAATTGTTGTGATTACATATACATACATTTACATCAATTAACCATTGTTTACATAATGTTAAATATACATCAATTATGTAATAATACATAAGACAGTAACAAGAGTATATATATATATATATATATACACCTAGGCTTAACGATCTCCACTATTGATTGTTGTGAGTATTTACGATGACAAAGTTGTCATGTTTCACTCCCGAGACATTTAAATAGAGGTTTTAATATGCATATATATCAAACAAATAAGATCAAACAAAAACTTGTACAATATAAAAAGTCATGGTGGCTTTCATTTCATTGGAGAAAACAAAAACAAATTGTATAAACAATAATACATTGTATTTTGTCCTTCATTTATTTGCATATACATGATTTACTTCCCAGTAATTCCATACGTGATCAAACATCAAAAAGGTTCAGACATGTTTATATAGTTTAAGTACCTGCGAATCTCTGAAGTCAGAAAGTATATTGTAAACGTTACTACAATGTAAATTATGTTATTCCATCAATTGTGTTTGTCACCAAGTTCTGCTACATTGATATACTGAAATACACTGTCTATGAATTCATTCACATGAAGCGCTGTCAAGCAGCGAAGTGAATGACTTTGGAAATTAGTTCCATTTTGTTGTTTCTTTAATACTACTTTTCCTGTCACACAGACTTCCATATATTCTGTATATTGTCCTAAATATATATTTCCTGACATGCTTTACTCCTGTGGCATACTAACTTAACAAAAACCATTATTTATATGGTAATGTAAAATGTTGAAGGTCTTAATTACAAAGAGTTCAGAAGAGTTGGATTTAGACAAAAATTACTTTTAGTAACATCAACAATGCACTTAAATATCAGACAAAGATTCCATACAAATTACAATGTACAAATATACATAGTTATTTCCTCACACTATCTAATCACATTGTTAGCTTTGGCTATAAAGTACATTTCAAATTTCAACACAGGTTTCTTTCTCACTTTAAACCAGCACTGCTTTCTCACTTTATCCTAGTACTTCCAAACACTTCATCATAGTGCTGCTACACATTTAATCCCAGCGTGGTATCCCAGCGCTGCTACACATTTAATCCCAGTGTGGTATCCCAGCACTGCTGCACATTTAATCCCAGCGTGGTATCCCAGCACTGCTGCACATCCCAGCGTGGTATCCCATCCACATCTAATCCCAGCGTGGTATCCCAGCACTGCTGCACATCTAATCCCAGCGTGGTATCCCAGCACTGCTGCACATCTAATCCCAGCGTGGTATCCCAGCACTGCTGCACATTTAATCCCAGCGTGGTATCCCAGCACTGCTGCACACAATGTTGCTGCATCACACTTTCATCACAATCCTTCCTGACCATCATCAGGAGGTTCATAGTATCGTGGACCATTAATCTAAAAATACAATGAATACACATCATTAACTTTTTCAATTATAAAACAAATTAATAAAACTGGCCTGGGATACAGACAACTTCCCAGTGTTTATAACTGTAATGTCTCTAACTAGTAACACAGAGTATTTTACCTGGATTTTTGACAGACACAAATTTTACATTAACGGGCTGTCAACCAAGTTTTCTTCAAAATATAGGAGGAATAAGAAATATTTTTTCAACAAATATGGGAATTTTTTGCTAGTTTGAAGGCAAAATATAGGAGTTTTCCAAATGAAAATAGTTTCATTCAGAGGTGTGTATACTAACAATTCTTACCTTCACTTACTGTTTCTATATTAATCAATGTTTAAAAACTGCCTTAAAGTAACCATTCACTTCAACAGCATCACAATCCAGACAGACAGCTGTTACATAGAACATCATCATCATCATCATCATCATCATCATCATCTGAATGGGCACCTAAAAGGCCAATATCCTGCTGCAATGCCTTGCAAGTTGCCCATACAGGTGATAAAGAGATGCACTGAATCATTTTCTGGTGGCTGGTGATGCTGTTAAAGACTTAAGAATTCTCTAACTTGTAAAATCAAGAGGCCAAAAGCAATAACAAAGAAATATTTACAATCTCTAAATTTATTGGTGACAAATTTCATGAAAAATATAGGAATATTTTTCAAAAATTAGGAAAATATAGGAAATATAGTCTTTCAAAATATAGGTTTTTGAACCAAAATATAGCAAAATATAGGAATTGGTTGACAGCCTGCATTATAAACCAATGGAGGTACATAACTATAGACTTGTGATTAATTTACACCATGATTAACACTGATCCCGACTATAGATATTACCATCACAAAACAGAACTGTCAGGAGCTATTTTGATAATCCTAAATACACAAACAATGTAATATATAAAGATACAGAAAAGGGGCATTAATCACAGAAAATCATTGAACTGAAAAAATATCTAATGATCATGTTCACAAAATCATAGCACATCTCTCTTGTCATCACACTTACCTGTATATCATAATGTGTAACAAAGGATGGCACATCTCTCTTGTCATCACACTTACCTGTATATCATAATGTGTAACAAAGGATGGCACAACTCTCTTGTCAACACACCTACCTGTGTATCATAATGTGTAACAAAGGATGGCACATCTCTCTTGTCAACACACCTACCTGTGTATCATAATGTGTAACAAAGGATGGCACATCTCTCTTGTCATCATACTTACCTGTATATCATAATGTGTAACAAAGGATGGCACATCTCTCCTGTCAACACACCTACCTGTGTATCATAATGTGTAACAAAGGATGGCACACCTGCCTGTCATCATACTTACCTGTATATCATAATGTGTAACAAAGGATGGCACACCTGTCTGTCATCACACTTACCTGTATATCATAATTTGTCACAAAGGATGGCACATCTATTTGGTCTGGTGCTATAGACCTGTACAGGTATTGGACACCTCTCAAGCTAAACACCTTGTTTTTGATGTCTGAGGCAGTAAATGTTGTGAAAAACCAGGTGGCAAGCTATTGGTGAAAACAGGATTTGATTAAGTTGATCAAACATATATGTTTACGAAGTTCAATTTAGGAAAAAAATTCAGCTGGTGTTTACTATCTACATCTTTAAAATTTGTCAACCCCTTATGTCCTCCACACAATGAACAAGTTATCTACTAACCATATCATAATTTTAGTTTCTCTGAATATAATTTGTTTAGTTATTGTTTCATTAGCCCCTAATCAGTTGAAAGTTTGTTTGAGAGTGTTGGCTTGTGACACTGTTTTGTCTTTTCATAAAGAACTGTACTATATGGTTTACCTTTGACCACCAAGTGGGATGGATGACATAGAAGGTTTTCAAATTCTTCCTGTATCTGAAACAAGGTAACATGAATTTTACAATTACATATTCATTAAAAACACATCTGTTACGGAGATAAACTGAAAACTGTACAACATTCATGATCATAAAATCAGCCATATTGTTATATTGTAAAATTACTCTTTTAAATCTTATGCTCAACATAAGTACAACATGTGCTGTACATAGTACATAATAAAGCCTGTTATCATTATTATATAGAATTATGAATATAAAGCCTTTTATTATTACTATATAATTAAAAATCCTGTTATTATAATAACATATTTATAAAACCTTATATATTATATTCTATACATATGAAACCTATTATCATTATTATTATATGATTATGAAACCTGTTATTATAATCATATACATATAAAGCCTATTATCATTGTTATATAAGTATAGATTTTGTTGAAATAAATTAATTTACTTGTTATCTAGTAGACTGTACACCTCACGAAGGTAGTTCATAGTTGGGTAGTTAGACCCCATGGTTTGTGTATGGAGGTACACCACTACATAGTCAGACTCCACAACAGGCTCCATTACCCTCAGCATGTACAGGAGAGCCTGGCAAGAGAGGCAAATAATGATCTATTGTTTCTTGACAAAGGCAAACAAGAGTGTCGTGGACACAATATATGCTGCCACAAAATATAAAGATCAAGATAAAACGGCATAAATCTTACAAAAATCAATGAACCGTAAAATCGCCCCTTCATGCACATCTACCCATTGTAGTAGTGACATTGAGCAACTTTCTTAAAAATCTGATGATTAGTTTAGGAGGAGTTGCATTCAAAAGAAATGTACATATAACATAATGTAAACCTGGGTTCTGTGATGGTTTCTGAATTTACCTTTTCCAGGTTTACAGTTGCCGCAGGAAAATGCTTCCCAACAAAGATCACCACTGGGCGTCCAAACTTGTCAACACCTGATCTGTACAGACATTTTAAAGCTGCAATGTCTGTCAAGTCCTCTGTCCTAGCTCGCTTCATCAGCCTGTCATACCTGTTATTTATAAGTAAATATAAAATCAACTTCATTTTAATTAAGTTGTTTCTGGACAATACTGCAGAAATATACTGTAGTATCACTTGTCCATTGTTCTAAAGAGCAGGTTTTAACAACAGTAGAAAAATCCTTCATCACCTACCTTCGTTTATTTTCCAGCTTCCTCTGTTCTTCTGTAGTCTTACCCATAATGGTAGTTTTCCTCATGTCATCTGGGTTCTCTTCCATCTGAGCAAATGGATGTTTGCCTACCTCTAGGACTGTAGATGTAGCAAACTCTTTATTTAGGTCAACTGTCTCCTCAAAATCTTCCCTCTGACTACCTAAAAAACAAAACAAAGATATTTGTCAAGTTATTTTTAATATTCAGAGAGATCAGAGCCAACACAATGTCATGATCCATCTGATCTTAATGGAATTGTGAACAGTTGAGGACAGGGAGAAGATAGCAGTCAGGAAACTTCCTTATCACTGGATTTTCTCTGGGAAAGAAACAAGTGTTTCCATGTTTTCTTTAATCTTCATATAAATACAGTGCCAAAATTCCAACATATTGTTCACAAGGCATTTTGACTTTGATTGCACAAAGATTCTAGCAGAAATCTGAAAATGATATTAAGCTTAAACATTACTGTGTTCTTTTAAGTAGCGTACATTATGTTCATGCACATATATATAATTGAACATAATTTTGCTATTCATAAGGATAAAAACTTCAAATGCAAATTGACAAGAAGACATTTTACAGTGCTGATTGTAGAAAATAACATTTTGACTAAACCAAACTCCCCTCTAACAGCTTCACTTAATCTAGATTGGAGAGAGTTCTACATTGTAATACCTTGTTTGAATTGATTCAATCTGCCCGTTACGACAAAATAAAGACAAGGCAACCTGTAAACAGAATGTTATGTACAAAATACAATTTACAATAATACTTCTCAAAATTCTGATGCCTGCTATCTTTCATCTAAAAGCTAAAACTTTTTCAGGTATATGTATATCAATATATCAGTATAATGTACTGTGTATGAGAGGTGGATGAAAGTGATTGGATGAGAGTGACCTGCACTTTGACCCTGTCCTTGCATGTGAAGTTCCCCAAATTTCCTTACCTGGGTGCAAATTTGTATTACTGTGCGCCAGGCCGCTGTCCTGTGAACAGGCTTAATACTGTATACACTCACTGATATTGCCTGTGTGCATTACTGCCATAGTGCAGGTGAATGTCTCCGTGTATATGTGTTTAAATGTTCAATAAACTGTGTGTCGTGTAAATGGCCTTGGATTGTTGTGTTACACATTAAGCTGTTAAGTAGAAAAACCCACACAACCACATGCATTCATGCGACACAGGTATGATGTACATACGCATGGAGGCAAACGCAGGTTTATCAGAAATCCTGATCTTTCTCTCGGCTATAATTGGTTCTCCGTCTTCGTTACCAACATTCTCTGGTAACATACAGGATGCCATGGCCTCCTCCTTACTGCTCCGCGGGAAGTACAGTGGCATAATTTTCTCGTACACTTCCTGTTATGATCAAAACATCACATTAGTATGACTTCGTTAATGCTGAGTCATTGGGAATATTTGACAACTTGTAAATAAAAGATATGCTGTAGTCTGTTGCAGGTCAAACAAAATCATAACTTTTCTTTTTTTAATGTCAAGTATAACGTGTTTTCTCTTGGAAAGCAGTAAAATTATTTCACTTTATATGGAAGTTATCAGAGAGATGACAAAACTGCTAAAGAAAAAAACGCCAAATGAGAGAAGCAGAGAGCTGGTTTGAGTATGAATATGTTACAGCATCTGGTTTGCACTGAAGATTTGTCTCAGTTATTTATGATTACTGATTTCAGAATAATGCTTTTTGTTTCTTTACAATATAATTGGAATAAATAGAGCTAATGTGGATCTATATAGACCCTTTCAGTCTGTACAAACGAATTCACTAGCAAGTCGAAAATCAGATTTACTAATAATTCCTATATAATCCAGACACAATATCAAGGTCAAGAATGTTAGTGTTTGTATTCTGGTGCTTTTGTAGACATTGCTTCAACAGACATAGAAATTACTAGATGATGTTACACTTTTTAAGAGCTTCTTAAGACAGGAATATTTATAGTGTCATCCCTGGTGACAATTTGGACAGTCCAGACTTCCTGGTGACAGTATGGACAGTCCAGACTCCCTGGTGACAGTATGGAATTGTCCAGACTCCCTGGTGACAGTATGGACAGTCCAGACTATCCAGACTCCCTGGTGACAGTCCGGACAGTCCAGACTCCATGGTGACAGTATGGACTGTCCAGACTGTCCAGACTCCCTGGTGACAGTATGGACTGTCCTGACTGTCCAGACTCCCTGGTGACAGTACAGACTGTCCAGACTCCCTGGTAACATTATGGACTGTTCAGACTGTCCAGACTCACTTGTGACAGTATGGACTGTTCAGACTGTCCAGACATCCTGGTGACAGTATGGACTGTCCAGACTCCCTGATAACAGTATGGACTGTCCAGACTCCCTGATGACAGTATGGACTGTCCAGACTGTCCAGACTCCCTTGTGACAGTATGGACTGTCCAGACTCCCTGGTGACAGTATGGACAGTATGGACTGTCCAGACTCCCTGATAACAGTATGGACTGTCCAGACTCCCTGATGACAGTATGGACTGTCCAGACTGTCCTGACTCCCTGGTGACAGTATTGACTGTCCAGACTCCCTGGTGACAGTATGGACTGTCAAGACTCCCTGGTGACAGTATGGACTGTCCAGACTCCCTGGTGACAGTATGGACTGTCCAGTATGGACTGTCCAGACTCCCTGGTGACAGTATGGACTGTCCAGACTCCCTGGTGACAGTATGGACTGTCCAGACTCCCTGGTGACAGTATGGACTGTCCAGACTCCCTGGTGACAGTATGGACTGTCCAGACTGTCCAGACTCCCTGGTGACAGTATGGACTGTCCAGACAGTCCAGACTCCCTGGTGACAGTATGGACTGTCCAGACTCCCTGGTGACAGTATGGACTGTCCAGACTCCCTGGTGACAGTATGGACTGTCCAGACTCCCTGGTGACAGTATGGACTATGTCCAGACTCCCTGGTGACAGTATGGACTGTCAGTACAGTATGGACTGTCCAGACTCCCTGATGACAGTATTGACAGTATGGACTGTCCAGACTCCCTGGTGACAGTATGGACTGTCCAGACTGTCCAGACTCCCTGGTGACAGTATGGACTGTCCAGACTCCCTGGTGACAGTATGGACTGTCCAGACTCCCTGGTGACAGTATGGACTGTCCAGACTGTGACAGTATGGACTGTCCAGACAGTCCAGACTCCCTGGTGACAGTATGGACTGTCCAGACTCCCTGGTGACAGTATGGACTGTCCAGACTCCCTGGTGACAGTATGGACTGTCCAGACTCCCTGGTGACAGTATGGACTGTCCAGACTCCCTGGTGACAGTATGGACTGTCCAGACTCCCTGGTGACAGTATGGACTGTCCAGACTCCCTGGTGACAGTATGGACAGTATGGACTGTCCAGACTTCCTGGTGACAGTATGGACTGTCCAGACTTCCTGGTGACAGTATGGACTGTCCAGACTCCCTGGTGACAGTATGGACTGTCCAGACTCCCTGGTGACAGTATGGACTGTCCAGACTCCCTGGTGACAGTATGGACTGTCCAGACTCCCTGGTGACAGTATGGACTGTCCAGACTCCCTGGTGACAGTATGGACTGTCCAGACTGTCCAGACTCCCTGATGACAGTATGGACTGTCCAGACTCCCTGGTGACAGTATGGACTGTCCAGACTCCCTGGTGACAGTATGGACTGTCAAGACTCCCTGTTACAAGTTTTTATGCAAATCAAGTACAGAGTGAAGAATAATTCTTGAAGAAGTTGTCAACTCTCTTTATAGATAATGCTAAAAAAAAGATACTCACCATGTCCTCCTCAGTACAATGAAAGACTATGGTTTCCACTTCATCACCAAACTTTTCCAAAAATCTTCGCACAGTTCCTATGGTAATCACAAGGGTTTTAAATATTTACAAATCAAGTTCTAATACATACATACAGTTTCATTAGTTCTTGTTATATATATATCTTCTCATCACCCTTTGATTTTCTCACCACCAAACTCGAGTTCAAGTACACACCACCAAACACAAGGTAAGTTAGATATTATACTGATCTCCATACTTCAGTATTTTTAGAGTAATGTTAATGAAGCAAGAATAGTCACCAAATAAACAATCGCCAATGGGTGTAAGTGAAGTCTTTGAACCACTAATGTCTCTGGTGTTAAACTTATCACCAATTCATTGTATAATGATGTAATAGCTATGTAAGCTTGTAATGCTTCCCATTACTGAATCAAAAAAGTGTGCAACATGAAAAGGGAGTTTATATAAGAAGACTTACTAATGGCTATATGAGCACCATCCTCAGGAGGATAACCCCTGGTTACAGAATGAGCTGGAGTCAAGGCTACAGTCTTTATATTAGTCTCTCTGAAAAAATGAGAAGAAAACCATCATCAGTAATTTTCACTTGCAAATTTATTCATCATGAAAAGACAATATCTGTCTCATTTTAATAGCAAAGTTTTGAAACAACCATTTATGCTGTAGTGGCCTACCTAACAAGCTGTAACACTTGTCTGTAGCAGCTGTACAGAGCACTCTCGGCAGCAGTGACATACTTGAAGTTGTAGCGTGGCCCAACTGTATGTATTATATACCTGGCCAGTAGTTTATAACCCTTAGTCAGCTTGGCATCACCAGTTTTACATACTGACAACAAAAAGTAAAGATAACAGCATAAACTCAATTTTTAACAATATCTTACTTTTACATAATTAATAAACACCAAGATGCATATTGCTAAACCTAAACCAAAAACATGATTCTCAAATGATATAAAACAGTACAGTCCTACTTTCCATTACTCCTTTCTATGACAACTATATGTTTATTCATAGGTTTCATATCCAACATAATGTCTATGATAAACTACTGTAGTTGTTCAATGTCTTATATTCTCTTGTTTTAGTTTGATGCACACAGAAAGCTCTTTAGAGCAGAGTGTTACGACAGAATGAGTATAACAATTACAGGAAGACATATTTGTGTTTATATGTAGAAAATTACACCAAGGGTAAGAAATAGAGAGGCTGAATAAAGAGCAGATTTACATATACACATTCTACATTCTAATATTTTCATCATTGGAAATATGTTGGCAAACTTTCTGCTGAAATCCAACAAACACTTTACAGAAATGACAGGCTGGTTTACTGAGTACACCAAGGGCAAAACATTACTTTATACAATGAGGCAACTTGTTTGAATTTATGTGTTTTCTATTTTAGGGTAATAACCTAACCTAAAAATTAACTTTAATGATGTAACATTGGCATTTTGCAAATAGCTGACGCACGTTAGAATTAGCAAATCCTACCTTTCACATTATTCTTCAGGTCTGCCTGTAGTTCAGGTCCTGCCTTCTCATAAATTTTTTCTGAAGCTGGAGTTTTAGCTGAGAAATTGAACTTTTCATTTGTTGAGTGAACAATAGCCTCAACATTAAGAAGTGTAATGTCTCCACACCTGCAACACAATATTCATCAGTCTTAACAAAGTAGAAAAAAAAAAAGAAAAAAAAACACACAAAAAAAAAAAAAAAAGATAGAAAAGGAAAACAGTGTAACCATCCTCTAGTCATAATGGTGAAGAGGTATATTAAATGACCAACAAACAAAGACCTTATAATCAAATCTATTATACAATTATCACATCTGTATGTATTTAGATGATATCCTATGTTGTGCTGGAACATTATTTTGACTATATCACAAACAAAAATTGATTTTGAAATGTTCAAATATTAATCAAAAGTCAAGAAATATCATGTGATTCTAGCTTGCCAATATCAGATTGACTTCACGACATCAGGAGAGTCGGTGACACTGAACAATATCCCCACACCTGTAACATATAATAACAAGATAACCACATCTGATATACAGTAATCCTTTATACACATTTAAAACTTCTAGAAAGAAACATTTTTAATATTAGAAACCTCCAGAACTATTTGGAGATTCATTGACTGATTTTAACAAAATGTAGGTACATGAATGAGATCATATGATCATAAGGATCTACTATAGAATTAACTCTTTTTAATGCGAAAAAAAAAAAAAAAAAAAAGAGAGAAAAAAGAAAGAAAGAAAGCGGACATACCTTAAAATATCCTACAAAAATCAGCGATTCCTCCATAAGGGCGGCATTGCACCTGGAAGTGAAACCTACTGTACCATATTCAGTGTATATGATATGTTCTTACCAAAGCAAGATTTTGGCGTTGAGATTACTTCTCCAGGGGAAAGGCGTGCTGATTTCCTCGTCAGAAGGACTGTCTATCGACTCAATAAACTCGGGAAGCCGTGTCAGATTCCATTTGGTCAACTGTTCAATGTCCACGGTTTTGGAGCGGGCACCCAAGGGTTCAGGACCCTCGTCCTCCATATTTGGATTACCAACGACGATAAACCACTGTCTAATTGCGTGCAGCTACGAACACCAAAGTAATCTTAACAAGAACTGCAAATAAGTTATAAGACAAGAAATATTCTAATTTGTAAGTGTCGATTCCTCATGCATCAGTTTATCACATGACTGTTTTTATGATCGAAAACCTTGCTCAACACGTTGTCGTCACTTACTCGTGTTGCTTACATAATGCAAAGCTTTCAAATGTTTTCTATAACATAAGTTTGACGGTAAAGTTCTTAAAATATGCTAAAAAACAATTATGTTAAGAGAATACCAACAGTCTAAATCCTACTTTCACTTCTTCCGTATATGTCCACCATTTTCTCGATCATGTGACTTTTTGAGACCGTCCAAATTATTTCCGGTTTGTTCTATTTGAAGTGTGGGTGGGACAGGTCAAATTGCAAGAATCGGTTCGACGCCCTGTAGGTGAACAGAGATTAGTCTTTTTTTGTCATATTTTTGCGGGCAAAGTTTCATATTTATTTGCATATTTGAATTGCTATAATAGGCCTGAATAATAAAGTTTTAAGTGCTGGAAAGTTGGAAATACATATCACCTGCAAAATTAACATAGCTGTTGGCACAGTAGAACTGAATTCATCTGCAAATGTCAACTCAGAAAAGACATCTTAACAAAGAAATGAGACGATTCCCATGAGTGTTTTTTTTCTACAAGATATTTATGGTAAAACTTATTTGAAAATGACACTGTTTTGCCTTTTTTACACAAATGATTGAAAAGCAAACTTTTTGACAATATTCTAGACCGTGTGAAGTTGTGATGAAATGTATAAATAGATACACCAATCAGCATACGCATTAAATACTCAGGGTATAATGTGGCCACTGGGCTTAGAGCAGAGCAGTTCATTATTGGCTTACTTGTGTGTGAACATATCCTTAAAGCTATCATTTTTCTTTCGGTATTCTTAACTGCTAATTGCAACTTGGTGGAGGCTACGAAAGAATGTGAAGCAGTACACAAGATTTTGCAGACTGAAAATAACAACTCCAATGTTTGGGATGCTCTTTACAAAAAACATCAGATATAATTCCTTCCAAGACAAGAACAGGTGGTCCTCAGAGAAGGAGAGCTGATATAATGTTCCTGCCTTTCCTCGACCGTATGGAACAAGAACTCGGTCAGGAAGATCAAGACCGATTTCTTGCTCGAGTTCTGTTGCCCATTTGTCTCCATTAGTTCACTCCTAAACTCAAAGATCAACCCTTCATCAGGTTTCCACATCATCTGTAGCCAAACGATAAGCAGGTCTTTGATGCCTTATGTTCAGAAGCCTTCCTGTCTTCATGATACAAAAACTTATGCAACGATGATTTTTTCCTGTACTTCTAAGATGACTGTAGTACTGCAGTACAATGCCCATGTCTACTTTGACACCTGAATACTCCTGTAGCTCCACTTGTTGTGTTCAAACATACTTGTAAAGTACACGTACAGTGGGCCAAGAGAGACTCTTTGTCAACCCTTCAAATACACAGAAATGTGTAGAACTGCTCATTGGTGACAGAAATACGAGTGCAAACATTGAATATTGAATACACATAACGTATCACTTGTCGAAGTGCGAAAACTAAGTACAAATGAAACAAAAATACTGTCAGCTTGAAGGGGACTTTGCTCCCCGGACCCCTCACTGGGGCCTCAGGACCTTGACCACGGGATTCCAGCTTTCTTCAAAATGCTTGAACATCGAAAGTGGTACAACTGTGCATGTGACTGTGTTGCAGTAAAGTCATGAGTTAGTCAACTAATCTCAGAAAGCTGGTACTGACTTTTTCAACCACAGTCAGTAGTATAAGTTATACAAATTCTGAAACAAGGTACAAGGAAAATATTTTATTTCAAGCAAAGGTTTTGTGATGTTTACTAAGTATTTGACAAAAACAACTAAAAAATCTCTGTATTGTGAAGCCTATGAGAAAGGTATAAGACATATGATACAGATGTCTTTGTTTATCATATCATTATAACTGGATTTTATGAAAGATGCCTTCATACGATTTTTGAATTATGTAAATAATAAATAAACAAGAATTAAAGTACTCAACAGTTATTTATTACAGTGGAAGCTATTAAATATAGTATATTTCTGATAATTCAAAAATTTTCATATATGCACGTAAAGCTTTCCACTCTATTGCATTATAGAGAAATGTGTTTCTTAGTGCACAAGTAACACAAAAAACATTAGTCTGAAGTCAATGACACAGGTGTACAATGTACCCCAATGACACAGGTGTACAGAGAACTCCAATGACACAGGTGTACAGAGAAACTCCAATGACACAGGTGTACAGAGAACTCCAATGACACAGGTGTACAGAGAAACTCCAATGACACAGGTGTACAGAGAAATCCCAATGACACAGGTATACAGAGAACTCCAATGACACAGGTGTAAAGAGAAACCCCAATGACAGGTGTACAGAAAACCCCAATGACACAGGTGTACAGAGTACCCAAATAATGGGTGTTAATGGTTCCCAAATCAGTGCTCCTTTTGTAACATGTAACGATTGATAAGTGTCATCACTGGTTTTAGTGTAACATATCCAAGATATCTGATAGGGAACCTGCAGATTTAAAACAGCTTAATTGCTTATAAGCAGTCTATGAGGAAAATCAGAGAAGTTAAATCACAAAACATATCATATTGTAACAAAACAGAAAAAATAATAAGTATGTCTTGTGTATATACTTATATACTAGTAATACAAGAGTCAAATACTTTCAAACAATTCCATGAGAACGGGTCAAACATGCAAAGGGAAGAAGGATTGATAACAAAACATGGAGATGATAAGATAGCAAGTTTTTACTCCAAAATTTCCATCAATTTACATACCAAGGTATGTGTTGTATCATCTCTCACTACACATGTGATTGGGGCAAACCTTGTAGACAATATAGCATGATAATGACAAGTAAAGTATTGATCATTGTTTTAGTTGTACGTAAAATCAAGCTTAGAACTTATTTCTCTTACAGAGCAAAAACAATGTATTTACAATACATAGAAAACATTTGGATAAACTAATCATGATTGCTGTACACAACAATTGGTGTGAATGACTTAATTGAAGTTATAACAGAAAATCAGGATTCTGTGAAATTAATTATTTTAACATTGAATACACACAGTCTATACACAGCTAATCCTTCATTGGGGAAACAGAGCTGTACGGCAATAACAAATAATCGGAGTTTAACAATGCGTAAATTGATTTAAAATCTGTATGTGCACATACATGTACATCTCAATAATAATTTGTAACAATGAATGTAATGACAACAAAACAAGCCATTTTAACAGTTTCAGCAACAAACACACTTATTGAATGCTGGTGGAAGCAAATTACTTGCAACAAAATGTATTTCAATTCACAAAATAACCATCAATGATATGTTTTCAGGTAAATGTATTTAAAGACAATGAAACTTAAGAAAAATCAAAGAGTTTTTCCAAAATCTGTTTTTTAATATCATAAAACCTCTGTTAAACAAATCAGCTTGCTATATGAACACACCAGAAATTCAACAGAAGGCTTTGTTCCTAAACTGACATCACTTTACTAAGTAAACATAGTGATTATTTCTTACACTGAATGAAGCTTGAACCTTGAAGGGAAAACATAAAGTCAATTTCCTTTATAAACAAATCACCTGGTACATAATGCTCATTTCTTATGCTGGTAACCTACCTGAAAAACATAAAGTTTATTTTCTATACAAACAAATCACCTGGTAGACATAATGCTCATTCCAATACTGATAGCCCACCTGGAAAGCATGAAGTTTATTTCCTATGCAAATAAATCACCTGTTAAACATAATGCTCACTTCCTATTCTGATACATGTATACCTTCTGGTAAACAGAATCCTTACAATAAGTATTTCAAAAGTGCACACTTCTACTATCTTCCTTCACAACAATATGACAAAAAAGAAACCAAAATGCATTATCACATTATCTTGTACATACCCGATACTCTTTAAAAACAGTTATCCCATGCATGATTTCCTGGGCTTCTTTATCACAACAATCAAGAACATTGGCAAATTTGACAACTTTGTATAATTTTTACATAAATCAATCCTATCCAGTAATGAAAGACAAATGAAATGACAGCTAGTCATCAATCACACAGTGCTTTTTAAGATTTAACACCATAACACCATGCTTCAACCCATGTAAATAACTTTGGAGATGGAGGGGTGAAAAAAATGAAGAATTCCAGATTATTATTTTCTAAATTGAGTCTCTAAAGAACAATTGAAATATCGTATCTGATTTTACAATAACATATCAATCTAATATATTTTTTATAAGAATAGAATAAATCACACAATGACCTTTTTGACACAGGTGGTCCTGTCATAGGTAAAATTTGACATTTTATAATTCCAAAATGTAAGCACAACCCAGCATGATCTGAGTTTCTGCTGAATTAATTAATCCATCACTGGCTGTGGCTTTCTCTTTTCATCAATTTTGCGTTTTACAAGTAATAATTCAGTTGACACAAATCTGCGTAACAGATACTGTCCAGTATCTGACAAACACAAATGAACATTGTGTCTTCACCCCTCCCTTACACTCATTTCAGGTACACAATTTCCCCAACTGATGTACATCTCCATCACATAAACACACAAGCATATGACCAAGACATCTAATAGTCTTCATTTTGTAACTGAAATAAAAAAAATTGCAATTTGTGTTATTTTGACAGAACACCATCACCATTAAGACTGTGTTCATATGTGTGAATATTTAAAAAAAATTTCGGTATGCTTAAATCTGTTATACAACATTTTTTTTTTACTAGAATAGCATCTATGTGATATTTTCTTTAACTCCACAATATATCACTCCAATCAATTCAGTATTATTTTATAGAATATCATCACTTATTTTGCTTACACTATGAGATAATACTTTCTTCTTTTCATCTGAATTCAAAGTACAAGTACCTAAATTTATAAGAAGCTGAAAAGTTCAAAAGAATACTGATGGAGTTTATTTCAGAAATGAAACCACACATTGTCGCAGGAAGTTGTAACCACCATAAGTGATTCTAATATGTTTAAGTTTCCTGCCCTACCATCATTATCTCACCTCCTACACCACGATCATGGTAAACTAGATCTGCTAAATCCAGAATATCAGATCTAGATGTAGTAAAAGAAATCAATTATCGACAAACAAGTCAGAAATTGCATGATTTGGGCTGTCAATATATTGTCTTTAACTCCGTAATAAATTCGACGCGTTCTTCAGTGTCCCTCACAATATTTATCAACCCTGATCCTGTCTTTATGGAGGAACTTTAGATCAAGTCTACATTAATTTGTGTTCATGTTTCAGCTAGGTCGGCACTGCACAGCCTGATCATTCCTGGGTCCACCTTCCTCCTCATCGACATCAAACACCCCTGTTATACGGTACCCCATGTTCATCAACATTACTTCCAGAGGGTCAGCATTCATCCTTTTTTGATTGGCTAATGCTGCGTCATCTGAGTTGTCAACCTCTCGGTCATTTTTAGTCCCATCCTGTGAAGTTTACCAATTAAAACTTAATTATAAGCAACGAAAAATTTAATATTCCACTCATGCTCCGATACAATATAAAAGTTATTACATATAAAATAAGTATTTACCAAACAACTATACTTCAAATGGAAATGAGAAAAAGGCATATCTCCTTAAACAATGGCTAAAACTAACACACAGATGTACAACTATTACCTGGTAAACCAAGTTTTATACAAATCTGTTAAAAATCAGTTTGCTGTATTTTAAGACAGGATGTATTGTTTTAATAAAACGTCGGGGCATTGTCATTACTATCACCCATCAATACAATACAAAAGTGAACAAAAGGCCTAAGGGGCATGCATTGTTCATCTTGCTAGTTTAGCTATTCAGCCATTTGATAAAGAATTTAAAATATGACAAACAATTTCTGATATAATTTTCCTATTGAGTCCCGATCTTGTGGTCAAACAGAAGTCAGATTCACTATCAAATAAAAAAACTGCTCGAAAACAAATCTGCACAATATCCTTGTATGGATGAAGGACTTTTAAGAACTTACATTTTCCTAATTGGGTCCGCCCTTCCTGCCCTGAGGGGCTAGGATGCACTGTTTATATAGAACTAAGTATCCTTTAACCAAGAATACTTCAGAACCAATTTGGGCAATATCCATTGATTCCTATAGGAAAATTTCCTTGTTTGGGCCCCAATCCTAAGGCACCTCGGAACCAATACTTACACAGACTTTGTTCCCCTTTGTTTGGGTAAGGTGAGCTAATGATAAGACAGAACACATGTCATATTCCTTTTAAAAAATTGTTCATGAAATTCCTCGAATACCCTGAGAGTAATGTGATATCTTTGTCTCGCTAAAATATCAACACTATCTACATCATTGGTGCAAGAATTATTTGTGACAGACTTTTATTTACCTAGAAAATTTAATGACATAAACAAATCTTCTTTAGAAGCAAAGCCTACTATGTTTACCACCAAACCCAAGGGACCAGTAGAAAATGATTGCTACAGACAGGGAGGTCATTTTGAACAGGCATGATGAGGTCATCATAACATTTGTTAAAACTCATGATATATCAAGTGAATTATTAAAAAGTCGGTAATTTCTGAAATAATGAATGAGGTGTTTCTGATAGAAAAATAAGTAAAATATATAAAATGAAATAAACATATTGAAATATGAATAATGTACAAAGCATTCATACTAAAATAAATTATATAAATCTTTGAGGAAATATTTAAACCTGTGACAGATAGAAGGCAGTGATGGTGAAGTTGAAATATGTCAATGCTAATTTAAATTTGATGTAATATTGAAATGACCAGGGTCAATATCAAATATATTTGATGATCAGTATTAAATATATCTGAATCAAAATGATTCACGAGTGTCAAAAGTTTTCAAAAGATTTCAAAGTACAAAGACTATACAAACCTCTGCCCTTGGACTCCATAATCTCACGACTGGATCAATACCACTGGTGGCTAACAGACAACATGTAGGATGAGGCTGTAAGCAGTTCACTATGGATTCATCTCCCCTTAAAACTCGAACAATGTTGGTGGTACGCTTCTCCCAGATAAAGAATGAACCATCGTCTGAACCCGCCACTATGTACTGGCCGTTACTGTAAAATACCAGATAGATAATTAGTCACCATCTGAACCCGCCACTATGTACTGGCCGTTACTGTAAAATACCAGATAAAGAATGAACCATCGTCTGAACCCGCCTCTATGTACTGGCCATTACTGTAAAATACCAGATAAATAATTAGTCACCATCTGAACCCGCCACTATGTACTGGCCGTTACTGTAAAATACCCGCCACTAGATGTCACCATCTGAACCCGCCACTATGTACTGGCCGTTACTGTAAAATACCAGATAGATAATTAGTCACCATCTGAACCCGCCACTATGTACTGGCCGTTACTGTAAAATACCAGATAGATAATTAGTCACCATCTGAACCCGCCACTATGTACTGGCCGTTACTGTAAAATACCAGATAGATAATTAGTCACCATCTGAACCCGCCACTATGTACTGGCCGTTACTGTAAAATACCAGGTAAGAATGAACCATCGTCTGAACCCGCCACTATGTACTGGCCGTTACTGTAAAATACCAGATAGATAATTAGTCACCATCTGAACCCGCCACTATGTACTGGCCGTTACTGTAAAATACCAGATAGATAATTAGTCACCATCTGAACCCGCCACTATGTACTGGCCGTTACTGTAAAATACCAGTACTGGCCGTTACTGTAAAATACCAGATAAAGAATGAACCATCGTCTGAACCCGCCACTATGTACTGGCCGTTACTGTAAAATACCAGATAAAGAATTAGTCACCATCTGAACCCGCCACTATGTACTGGCCGTTACTGTAAAATACCAGATAGAGAATTAGTCACCATCTGAACCCGCCACTATGTACTGGCCGTTACTGTAAAATACCAGATAAAGAATTAGTCACCATCTGAACCCGCCACTATGTACTGGCCGTTACTGTAAAATACCAGATAAAGAATTAGTCACCATCTGAACCCGCCACTATGTACTGGCCGTTACTGTAAAATACCAGATAGATAATTAGTCACCATCTGAACCCGCCACTATGTACTGGCCGTTACTGTAAAATACCAGATAATTTAGTCACCATCTGAACCCGCCACTATGTACTGGCCGTTACTGTAAAATACCAGATAAAGAATTAGTCACCATCTGAACCCGCCACTATGTACTGGCCGTTACTGTAAAATACCAGATAGATAATTAGTCACCATCTGAACCCGCCACTATGTACTGGCCGTTACTGTAAAATACCAGATAAAGAATGAACCATCGTCTGAACCCGCCACTATGTACTGGCCATTACTGTAAAATACCAGATAAAGAATGAACCATCGTCTGAACCCGCCACTATGTACTGGCCGTTACTGTAAAATACCAGATAGATAATTAGTCACCATCTGAACCCGCCACTATGTACTGGCCGTTACTGTAAAATACCAGATAGATAATTAGTCACCATCTGAACCCGCCACTATGTACTGGCCGTTACTGTAAAATACCAGATAAATAATTAGTCACCATCTGAACCCGCCACTATGTACTGGCCGTTACTGTAAAATACCAGATAAAGAATGAACCATCGTCTGAACCCGCCACTATGTACTGGCCGTTACTGTAAAATACCAGATAAGAATTAACACCATCTGAACCCGCCACCGCCACTATGTACTGGCCGTTACTGTAAAATACCAGATAAAGAATGAACCATCGTCTGAACCCGCCACTATGTACTGGCCGTTACTGTAAAATACCAGATAAAGAATGAACCATCGTCTGAACCCGCCACTATGTACTGGCCGTTACTGTAAAATACCAGATAGATAATTAGTCACCATCTGAACCCGCCACTATGTACTGGCCATTACTGTAAAATACCAGATAAAGAATTAGTCACCATCTGAACCCGCCACTATGTACTGGCCGTTGGCCGTTACTGTAAAATACCAGATAAAGAATTAGTCACCATCTGAACCCGCCACTATGTACTGGCCGTTACTGTAAAATACCAGATAGATAATTAGTCACCATCTGAACCCGCCACTATGTACTGGCCATTACTGTAAAATACCAGATAAAGAATTAGTCACCATCTGAACCCGCCACTATGTACTGGCCGTTACTGTAAAATACCCAGATATGTACTGGCCGTTACTGAATACCATCTGAACCCGCCACTATGTACTGGCCGTTACTGTAAAATACCAGATAAATAATTAGTCACCATCTGAACCCGCCACTATGTACTGGCCGTTACTGTAAAATACCAGATAAAGAAGTCAACCATCTGAACCCGCCACTATGTACTGTCCGTTACTGTAAAATACAAGATTTAGAATGAACCATCGTCTGAACCCGCCACTATGTACTGGCCGTTACTGTAAAATACCAGATAAAGAATTAGTCACCATCTGAACCCGCCACTATGTACTGGCCGTTACTGTAAAATACCAGATAGATAATTAGTCACCATCTGAACCCGCCACTATGTACTGGCCGTTACTGTAAAATACCAGATAAAGAATTAGTCACCATCTGAACCCGCCACTATGTACTGGCCGTTACTGTAAAATACCAGATAAAGAATTAGTCACCATCTGAACCCGCCACTATGTACTGGCCGTTACTGTAAAATACCAGATACTGGCCGTTACTGTAATTAGTCACCATCTGAACCCGCCACTATGTACTGGCCGTTACTGTAAAATACCATCTGAACCCGCCACTATGTACTGGCCGTTACTGTAAAATACCAGATAAATAATTAGTCACCATCTGAACCCGCCACTATGTACTGGCCGTTACTGTAAAATACCAGATAAAGAATTAAAATACCAGATAAAGAATTAGTCACCATCTGAACCCGCCACTATGTACTGGCCATTACTGTAAAATACCAGATAAATAATTACTCACTATCTGATCCCGCCCCTCTGTTCTGGCCGTTACTGGCCGTTACTGTAAAATACCAGATAGATAATTAGTCACCATCTGAACCCGCCACTATGTACTGGCCGTTACTGTAAAATACCAGATAAATAATTAGTCACCATCTGAACCCGCCACTATGTACTGGCCATTACTGTAAAATACCAGATAAAGAATTAGTCACCATCTGAACCCGCCACTATGTACTGGCCGTTACTGTAAAATACCAGATAAAGAATTAGTCACCATCTGAACCCGCCACTATGTACTGGCCGTTACTGTAAAATACCAGATAAAGAATTAGTCACCATCTGAACCCGCCACTATGTACTGGCCGTTACTGTAAAATACCAGATAAAGAATTAGTCACCATCTGAACCCGCCACTATGTACTGGCCGTTACTGTAAAATACCAGATAAAGAATTAGTCACCATCTGAACCCGCCACTATGTACTGGCCGTTACTGTAAAATACCAGATAGAGAATTAGTCACCATCTGAACTCACAACAAAGAAAAGGTAGTTGCTGTAAAATACCAAATAATTTATCACCTGTAAAAGAATTGTCTCAAACATTTTTAATCATCAACATGTGTTAACATTTGTTAAGAGATCATTTTTGTAAAGCCACTACCTCTGCTAAGAAGACACCTTTATCAAGTCAGTTCTAATCCTTTTAATCAAGAAACTGGGAAACTTCTGAGTGTTAGTTAGGACAAAGGACATATATTGTGAGAATGGACATCAAAATATTTTACAAATCTACCCTCAGTATTTGAATGATAGGATGTCACAAAAGACCTTATATTTTCTCATTTTTGAAGAACAATAAATGCTGATCTATACAGCCATTTAAAGTCCATATACTTCACAAATACATTTGAATAAATGTGACAAAAAAGGACATGATTTTTCTTTTTCAGTAAATTCTAACCTATAAAGCCATCATTTTCTTTTTTTGAATTACAATCAACAACATTATTTATTTTCAAATGCAATAATCAACTGTCATAAACATTCAATTAATGATTGGCTCTTTTTCTTATATGTAACCCCAGATAAGATTTTAATTCTTGTCTCAATGTTTGACGCTGACAGAGGTAGATCAAACTGTGTCTACCTCTGTACCAAGGTATCAAAGTATTTATTTTCTGAAGCATGTTCATGATAACTGCTTGTACCTGCCAAAAAAGTTGGCCTCCTTGATATCTGTTGTTGTGTTACAGTGACCACAGAAGCGTGACTGGTAATCATATGCCTCCTCCCGCCAACACTTCTCCTGGTCAGACATTGGTGTCACTGTTTTCTTCTTTATGGGCGATTCAGAGGAATCCGAAGAGGCACTGCCCTCCTTCTCATCTATATAACGTAACAAGGAAATTGTTAGAAGCTTTTATTTAACCATGAAAATATTAGACCTCCGAAACAACTGAAAATGATTCCAAAACATGTGTATGTTACCTGAAATGATATCTACATGATGTATGTTACCTGAAATGATACCTACATGTATATTTGTTACCTGAAATGATACCTACATGTATGTATATTACCTGAAATGATATCTACATGTATATCTGTTATCTGAAATGATACCTACATGTATGTATGTTACCTGAAATGATACCTACATGTATGTATGTTACCTGAAATGATACCTACATGTATGTATGTTACCTGAAATGATACCTACATGTATGTATGTTACCTGAAATGATATCTACATGTATGTATGTTACCTGAAATGATACCTACATGTATGTATGTTACCTGAAATGATACCTACATGTATGTATGTTACCTGAAATGATACCTACATGTATGTATGTTCCCTGAAATGATACCTACATGTATGTATGTTACCTGAAATGATACCTACATGTATGTATGTTCCCTGAAATGATACCTATATGTATGTATGTTACCTGAAATGATACCTACGTTTATTTATGTTATCTTATTTCACATAAATGTGGTAGAACCCAAGATGTGCATAATTATGACTAAGCATTATTTTGACCTTTGACACATCTACCTTGACCTTTGAAAGGGGTCACAGATCTACCTGGAGTACATGTCCCTGAGTATAAAGCTGCCTTGATGTCTCTGTCAAGCGCCTCACAAGCATGGCTTTTTGCATAGTCTGGAAATTTGTGTTTGAAATGTTGGAGACAATCATAGGCCTCCTGTGGCCAAGAGAGTTCATACAGACACCGGGCCAGGCGAAAGTGGGCCTTGAGGTGGTTAGGGTCAAGGTTTAGGGCACTATGACAGTCTCTTAGTGCTGCATACAAGTCACCATCCCTGCAAAAATGAAATGGGTAAGGTTGCATTAGAGAAGTGATCCTTTAGGTAAATGGTAGCCCACATGAATGGGTTTTGGAATACAACAAAAACAAGTTTACCAAACCAAAATGTTAAGAGTTTGTAGAGGAAATGACTTCAAATTGTGAACACTTTATACAACAAGAATTTCACAAAGGTAAATTTGTTATCTGTGTAGTCAGAGATATGATAAAGGATCATATTTTACTTGCACTGTAAATAACAGTAACTGATATTTGACCTTCTGATCTGAATGTAATCTGAAGATATCATTGGTGCTAAGGTATCTCAGGTACAAGAGGGAGTTTGATATCTATTTATACTTCATGTATAACTTGTTTTGACCTTTGACTTGCACACCAGGAAAGCAATTCAAAGCAAAAACAAATTAGCAATAAAGCACTCCTTGATTTCTAGTAGTCATACAGAAAGTTTGTTCCAACAACAGTTAAAGTTATCAGTCAACACTGATACTGACCTAATAATTATCTTATTCTGCATTTTCAAGAGACAAAGAAAAAAATAAACACAAAGACAAAAAATGGGGGACAATATCAGGCATTATCCAAAGAGTAAGTGATAAAGCCAGTCCCTGGTCACCTTCAGGACAATCCTGGACAAAGCTGAAACATCCAGAAATAAAATGCTCTGATAACTGATGACAGTGGTGGTTTACTATCTAATAAATGTATATAAAAAAGAGCACAAATGCTTTATCAACAGGAGGTGACTTACCACTTCCTCTTCATGAATGCAGCAGCCCTGTTTCCATATAACACAGAGGCATAAGACACTCGAGCAATGGCTTCATTGTAGGCAATAATGGCCTTGGAATACTGTTCCTTCTCAAAAAATGTGTTGGCTCGTTTCTTCAGTGCCTCTACAAAAGCAGACAAAGGTTTCCCCTCCATCCTGTGCCTGGTAAATGGAGAAAATTAGTGATAAGACACCTGAACATAAATGTTAGTAAACCAACATGAGACTACAAGTAAAAATACATTTTGTATAAGTTCCTGAGGCAAATTTGAAATATACAGTTAATAAGCAGTCTTTGTGTACATTTTGAAATATTTGTCCAAATTATAAAACTATTTTCACACAGTTTAATTGCTGTGATCTAAAAATTAAACATTCATCCAATTCATCTGTTGATCAAATATATTAAAGGTATGATTAATTAAATCCATGAAAATGATATTTTTATTTCAATCTTAAAATCATCTTTTAAATGGTTGCAAATAATGGTTCTAGACGATCTTTTTCAATAACAAACACGTGATGGACAGGTACTTGCAAAAACTTTGTACTGACATTTCGTACTGGTGTACTGGTATCCTTGGTTAAAATAACTAATTTTCATTCTTTCTGGATGTGTGACATTTTACAGCAAAGAAAATTATCAGGGTGTGAGGTCAATAGTGTATGTGATGCGCCTCGACAAAATGGCCACTCCGAAATACATAACAGTCTAAAGCCAATGATCAGATGATACTTTTCATTTTAAATTTTAATATTTTCTCGTCCACATATAAGCCACACAGTTTTATAAGCTGCAAGCCTGACAGCTGCGAAATTAAGCCGTGGCTTATAACCTGGGAAATACAGTAGTTTACTAAGGAATTTCAGCATGTCATCTACATTCAAAATATTACCATAGTTACCCACCTCTTGCCACTATGTATATCTCGCTGTTTCTCCTCTACCTCCATCTCGGCCTTCATCATGGCAGCAGCTGCAGCTCCTGTGGCAGTATGTAGACCATTACTCACACCATTAGTTGTTCCATTTTTGTGCAAGCTGAAACCATTGCTATGGGAACATGCTGCTTCTGAAAATGTAATTCATATATATCTAATTGGTCATTTCTTCCTTTATAAATAATTTCACCCTAGAAAGAGTATTATTTCTTATCCATTAAAATGTGTTAAGTACTTTAACAATTCCCTATCAGGACTTTTTATATTATGAATAGTGTCCACTGATTTTTGAAAGTGAGTCAAAGTCAACTCTGCCCACACTCCATCTTAGAAGTTATTCTCTAAAACTGACAGATCTTTCTTGGAAGAATTCAACTAACATCTTACACAAGTGTCTTTCTGATTGATCAAGATCATCTTACATATTTGAATTAAAGAACCCTATCCCAGAAATGTACAGGCAACTGATAAAGACAAGTTCTGCCATTAAACCATTGTCCAAAATATTACAATACTAGGACTTTGCTCAAGTGTTTAATGGCCCCTGTGACCTTTAAAAGGAAAAAATTCTGCTGTTCAAAAGAACCTATTTTTAACAAATTCAAACATGTTGAAAATTTGATAAAAGGGGTCAAAAGCATCTTATTTCAAAGCATTGTTTCACACAATGCAAGCAGGTTGCCAAATATTATTTTGTCTTTTAGGCCTCTTTTGCTCACATAGATATCCCAGAAAAAAATGCCAGAATAGTCCCTGTGTGTTTTTAACTTTTTAAAAACATGTCTGTCCCCTGTGGCCATCCATATGGGTAAAATGCTTTATACTCTAACAAATCCTGGCCAAATATCCATCCCCAGTTGCTTAAAGTTCTCTGGAGAAAGATAAAAATTGATGGATGGTCTTCCATGTGAGCTGAATACCTGAACATACTCAGAATGGCCAGCAAACTATGTGTTTTCAATAAGTATTGCTTTGGGCTGGATGCCATCAGGATGTAGACATATTCAGGCTATCAACACAACCTTATACAAATGGAATAATTTTCTCCTTTGTGGACTATTTGGTAAAACAGACAATAAAGATATGCAAGATGAGACATTTTTGCGATAATTACTTAGCATTTATTAAATATTGAATAGTTGATTTGTTACTTATCAATGGAAACTCTTTTTTTTCAATATGAGTAATCAAAATCATTTTTGTTTTCAGTTTAACCAAAGTTCTGCATATGTATTGTATTATTTATCAATCTATTGATCAAAGTTTAGAGGTTTTGTACCTTTAACAAGTCCATTTGCAGCTAGAACCATGGATATGTCAAACTTCTCTGGTACTTTGTTGTTATTGATATCAAATAAGTAGATCTGCTCTCCACCTAGATTCACCAGGAGCTCACGCCCATCAGGACTAAAGGTTACATAAGTCGCCGCTAAAGTCCTGTAACGTTTTTTGTAGTCCAACTGCTTCTGGGGCAAATGTCCTAGAAAAAATAATCATGTAAGAAAAGAACATTACAACCCTCAATGAAAGCAATAATTCGGTTTTTTTTTTATCATTTAGACGTGTTTATAAAATATTGATGTGTTCATACTGCAATAAATTCAGGAAATCAACACAAAACCTCTGACTCAGAGAAAGAGAATGTTTTTCTTTCTCCATCAGAGTTCAGAGAAAGAGGGTGTGTTTATATCTCTGTCAGAGGTCAGAGAAGGAGGGTGTGTTTTATCTCTGTCAGAGGTCAGAGTAGGAAGATGTGTTTTATCTCTGTCAGAGTTCAGAGAAGGAGGGTGTGTTTTATCTCTGTCAGAGGTCAGAGAAGGAGGGTGTGCTTATATCTCTGTCAGAGTTCAGAGAAGGTGGGTGTGTTTAAATCTCTGTCAGAGGTCAGAGTAGAAAGATGTGTTTACTTCTCTGTCAGAGTTATCACCCTTACTGCCAGCTATCATAGCTAGAGGTTGGTTACCTCACTGTGAACCACCGGCAACAGCCCTCATTCTTTTGATAAAGCTGTCACATTTACTTGCTGACCCTTTTTGGCCAGCTTTAAGAGTTAACTAATCACCTTTTGGGCTACCTTTCAGAGTTAACTCATCACATTTAGGGCCAGCTTCAAGAGATAACCCATCACCTTTTCGGGCCATTTTTATGAATTAACTCATCACTTCTTGGACCAGTATTCAAGGGTTAACCAATCACATTTTGGCCAATTGTATGAGTTAACTCATCACTATTAGGGCCAGCTTTGAGAGTTACCTCATGCCCTTTTGGACCAGCTTTTAAGAAATACACCAAACCCTTTTTGGGTCAGCTGTAAGAGTTACCTCATGCCCTTTTGGACCAGCTTTAAGAAATACATCATACCCCTTTTGGGCCAGCTGTAAGAGTTACCTCATGCCCTTTTGGACCAGCTTTTAGAAATACATCATGCCCTTTTGGGCCAGCTGTAAGAGTTACCTCATGCCCTTTTGGGCCAGCTGTAAGAGTTACCTCATGCCCTTTTGGGCCAGCTGTAAGAGTTTACTCATCATTACCTGATGTAAGAGTTACCTCATGCCCTTTTGGGCCAGCTGTAAGAGTTTACTCATGCCCTTTTGGGCCAGCTGTAAGAGTTTACTCATGCCCTCTTGGGCCAGCTGTAAGAGTTACCTCATGCCCTTTTGGGCCAGCTGTAAGAGTTTACTCATGCCCTTTTGGGCCAGCTGTAAGAGTTACCTCATGCCCTTTTGGGCCAGCTGTAAGAGTTTACTCATGCCCTTTTGGGCCAGCTGTAAGAGTTACCTATGCCCTTTTGGGCATGTAAGAGTTTACTCATGCCCTTTTGGGCCAGCTTTTGGGCCAGCTGTAAGAGTTTACTCATGCCCTTTTGGGCCAGCTGTAAGAGTTACCTCATGCCCTTTTGGGCCAGCTGTAAGAGTTACCTCATGCCCTTTTGGGCCAGCTGTAAGAGTTTACTCATGCCCTTTTGGGCCAGCTGTAAGAGTTACCTCATGCCCTTTTGGGCCAGCTGTAAGAGTTTACTCATGCCCTTTTGGGCCAGCTGTAAGAGTTAACTCATGCCCTTTTGGGCCAGCTGTAAGAGTTTACTCATGCCCCTTTTGGCCAGCTGTAAGAGTTTACTCATGCCCTTTTGGGCCAGCTGTAAGAGTTTACTCATGCCCCTTTTGAGCCAGCTGTAAGAGTTACCTCATGCCCTTTTGGGCCAGCTGTAAGAGTTTACTCATGCCCTTTTGGGCCAGCTGTAAGAGTTTACTCATGCCCCTTTTGAGCCAGCTGTAAGAGTTTACTCATGCCCCTTTTGAGCCAGCTGTAAGAGTTTACTCATGCCCCTTTTGGGCCAGCTGTAAGAGTTTACTCATGCCCCTTTTGAGCCAGCTGTAAGAGTTACCTCATGCCCTTTTGGACCAGCTGTAAGAGTTACCTCATGCCCTTTTGGACCAGCTGTAAGAGTTACCTCATGCCCTTTTGGGCCAGCTGTAAGAGTTTACTCATGCCCTTACCAGCTGTAAGAGTTACCTCATGCCCTTTTGGACCAGCTTTAAGAAATACATCATACCCCTTTTGGGCCAGCTGTAAGAGTTACCTCATGCCCTTTTGGACCAGCTGTAAGAGTTTACTCATCATTACCTGATGTAAGAGTTACTTCATGCCCTTTTGGACCAGCTTTAAGAAATACATCATACCCCTTTTGGGCCAGCTGTAAGAGTTACCTCATGCCCTTTTGGGCCAGCTGTAAGAGTTTACTCATGCCCTTTTGGGCCAGCTGTAAGAGTTTACTCATCATTACCTGATGTAAGAGTTACCTCATGCCCTTTTGAGCCAGCTGTAAGAGTTTACTCATGTCCTTTTGGGCCCACTGTAAGAGTTACCTCATGCCCCTTTTGAGCCAGCTGTAAGAGTTACCTCATGCCCTTTTGGGCCAGCTGTAAGAGTTTACTCATGCCCTTTTGGGCCAGCTGTAAGAGTTTACTCATCATTACCTGATGTAAGAGTTACCTCATGCCCTTTTGGGCCAGCTGTAAGAGTTACCTCATGCCCTTTTGGGCCATGCTTTTGTGTAAGAGTTTCATGCCCTTTTGGGCCAGCTCCAGCTTTTACCCTTTTGAGCTGTAAGAGTTACCTCATGCCCTTTTGGGCCAGCTGTAAGAGTTACCTCATGCCCCTTTTGAGCCAGCCCTTTAAGAGTTACCTCATGCCCTTTTGTAAGAGTTTACCAGCTGATGTAAGAGTTACCTCATGCCCTTTTGGGCCAGCTGTAAGAGTTTACTCATGCCCCTTTTGAGCCAGCTGTAAGAGTTACCTCATGCCCCTTTTGAGCCAGCTGTAAGAGTTACCTCATGCCCTTTTGGGCCAGCTGTAAGAGTTTACTCATGCCCCTTTTGAGCCAGCTGTAAGAGTTACCTCATGCCCTTTTGGGCCAGCTGTAAGAGTTTACTCATCATTACCTGATGTAAGAGTTACCATAACTTAAGGCCAGATGTTTTAACCTAACAAAACAAAATTTGAGACATTTTGCTGTATTTTACTCTATGCAATTTTCTTTCTACAGTAACAGATATATTGACCTAGAGCAAAGGATAATGTATCAGAAATGTGTTTAATATGTTTTATAACTGAATACTTGTCTAAAGAGTCATCAAATTTAGAAAATGAGACAGTGAAGTGACAAGCCTTCATATATCTATATTGTAGGACATTCTTTCAATAATAATCTACATTCACACATTGGTTTTGATGGATTTCCATTTCCTCGGCTCTTTTTCTCAAGTTTCACATACCTTGAGCATCACTGATGTGTCCCAGAAAGATAAAATAGATGTATGATGCAGTCCAGTTCATTATTCACTATACATAGTACCAGTTAAAAAATTGAATTGAAAGGTGCTATTCTCTTGTGTGTCATTCTTAAAATGCTTTAACTGTAATATCTGTAGAGGAATCTGAAATTTAATCTTCGAATTTGCACCAGAAATTGAACATAACACAAAGTTCCACTTTAACCAAATTAAGGACACTGATATTGTGTGATGACGACTGAATGCAGAGAGATACACAGAAATATATTTGTTTGTCTATAAAAACCCAATATTTCCTACATATATTCTGATGTCAAGCAGACAATATATATACCTGCAATGTAATACTTGACACAGCCCTGGGGCAAAGTAAAATCTTCTGGTGGGTTATTGGCAGGAATGTCAGACATTTCCCATGGTAATCTGAAAAAATTCAAAGGGGTTACTAACAGGTATAAACTTGGTGAGGGGATGATAGTTTCATTAGTTGACAACTGACAATCTTGTGATCAAAACTGTAATAGCGCCATATTTCATTTCACCATATCTCAAATAGTACTTGGTATATACATATATATACACCTACTTATACCTTTTTTTTCAGCTATTGTATTTTTGGGACTTCTTCCAAAAATGTCTTATTACTATCCACAGAAAAATTCTGTGATCTATTATGTATCGTTATCTTCTAGTTTTTTATTCATTTCTGGTTGTATTGTTGTTAGCATACATAGCAACCTGGCCCTGAATGCTCAAAGAATACCTGGTAACCAGTGGGAAGTGACCAATTGTTACTGTTGCCACTTAGAAACAAGAGCATTTAAGGCAAAAGTAAAACTCTAAAGACATTAAACCCGTCTCAATGAATCTACAGTAAGGAAATTATAAATGATGTTTCAAATGCTGTTTAAATCATGTTAAAAATTTAACATGACCACTGGTTATTTCTAACCAGTCTTTGAACAACCAGGCCATGTTGTAATATTGCAGCATGTAGTTTTCTATCTTACCTGAGAAAGTAATGATGTTTAGCCTGACTGATTTATGATTATAATGAGCAAGTGCTCATCTTTTACATTTAGATGTACTTACCAAACCATTTTCATCAAAATATTCAAAAGGTTAGATAATGATAAGAATTATTTTTGTGCACTTTATTTTGTAATGTCAGTGTCTAATAATTCAGGTTTTGACAACTTGTAAATAAAAAGATAAAAGTAAAAAGATAGCACTCAATGAGCTGTGTATACATGAGTTATGTAATGTTTACTTTGACCTTTTCAGACTAATAGATAAATGCTCTACCTGGTACTCGATTCAGCTGGCAGCTTCATGCTCTTACAGCTAAGCATTCTGCGATCATATAATCGGACATAGGGATCATTGGCACCAACAGCAAGCAAATCAGGTCGCATTGGGTTAACAGTGATACACTTGGCCTCTGGACTGCCACCCATGTGAGCATTGAGGTTAATAAGTACATTTTGAGGGTTGCCATTACCTTGGCTTTTCTCTGGTGTCCGCAAGTCATGTTGCCTGCAAGATAATCCTTACAATGTTGGAATACAAAATGTATTGACTTTCTGTAGAGAATATATGTATCATAACATTCATAATCAAATTTACCCATTAACACAAGTTTGTAAAGATAGGTTTGGTGAATTACATGTAAAAGTATGACCAACATTGAATTAAAAGAAACTTTCTAGCATATAATAAACACAGGAAGATATATCTGTGATTCCAAGGATATGATAATCGAGATGTATATAGACTTACATAATGGTACCATCCTCCGCTGCACTCCAAAACATAAATGGGACATTGGGTGCCACAGCCAGACGTTTCACTCGCCCAGCATGGGAAGAAAACACCTGGGTCGTTTCTTGGGAGTTTATGTCATGTACACGGATTTTATAGTCTGCTGCACCTGTCACTATCACAGAATCATTAGAACTTGGCAGGAACTGAAATTGAAAAATCAAGTTTGACAATATAAATCTTCTGTGGTATACCTGTAACATAATGATAATGTTGTACATGAAGACATTACTCTGGAAATCATGCCCATATATACCTATAACATAACTTTTGGTGTCAGATCTACATGCATGACATAAGCATTTAGTCACAAGAGATACTGGTGTACAAACAAAAGCATGTGTCCTGGTTACAGTCATTTACAATGTGTCTAGATTCCATTTCTACTTCAGGATTGCACTTTAGGGGTTTGTTGACCTATTAAATCTTGCAATTTCAGAGGTTAAAAATGTTTTTCTTTGAAATCTAAAGAGACAAAGCATGCGTCAAATTGACATCTTTTCAAAATCATTTTCAGGAAATTATATCTCGAGTCTAAAAACGGTCCATCACTTGGAATTAGAGTCAATGATTGTTTAACCACTTTTTTTCAGGATTTGGCCTTATGGGTACAAAATGGCCAAAAATTGAAATACATTACCTTGACAGAAAAGATGTTTCCTTGGTGTCCTGTGCGAACAGTGGATAAAGGCTTGTGAAGAAAGGGATCCCATACGATCACCTGTACATCATCAGACCCACTTGCTAATAACCTATAACATTAACAAAGAGTAATTTATGCTACTATATCTGAGATTTTTTTAAACATTTGTCAATCTGAGCCCTTTTGGTGCCCATTCCTCAGGCTCCTGGTGATTGGGGGTGTATAATTTACAATTTTATTCACTTTGCTTAGTCTATGAAAGGTTTCTGCAAAGTTTCATCAAAGCTAATTTGGAGCTTTTTGAGAAGATGTAAAAAAAAAGACTATTGTTCATAAATGGATGTATTAGTTTGACAGCATTATATTAAAAATATATCCTTTAGAACAAAAACACTTTTTGTTACAATAGTCATTGCAATGACATACAGTAGAAGTCAATCTACATTGAATGCTTCTGTTTGGACATTTTGGAAAACCATTAAAAATGTTATAAATATAAAGTATTAGGCTGAGTAAACTTACGATCCTTTGTCATTCCATTCAAGGCAATTAACACATCCCTGGTGACCCTAAAAAGACAGACTTAAGCTTTTCATATGTATACCACAACAATATGTGAAGAACAAATGACTTATAATGAATTCATTAGATTTTCTTGATACATGTCTCATAACTTGTCCCTGAATTTTTGTTTTTACCTTTAATGGTACATAAAAAAAATCTTGATCGTTATTGAAAATCCTGTTTAAAATTAAGGTATCTTCATTTGCGAATTTGATATCAATCTAACTAAATATCATGATGAATATTAGTGTAAAGTGTAAGTCTTACCTGAAGTTCATGGTCTAGCCCAAGTCTGCTAATAAAATCACCTGTTACTTGCAATTCTCTTTGGAATGTCAGCCTACACTTTTCCTAAAATTCAGAATAACTATCATTAATGAATAATAACAATCTTAATAATAAATAGATTTGTTAGGAATGCGCTTATGTCCATTTTCTATTAAATGTCACCATTTGGAGTCTCATAGAAAAATACAAAAGGCAAAACAGCTAAAAACAATTAAGCTATGATGTGGTTGAGAACTTAATGAAAAGAATAGAAATGAGACCTTCCTGGAAATAGGAAATTCAATGATAGTAAGTTAAGCTGTTTTGTGAAAAAACTGTTACCAAAAATTTACATTTGGAAAATTAAAGTGAATGGCAAAGAAGTTGATGGGTATACCAATTGCAAACAAGGTAAAATGGCATTGGGAGAGAAAATTTCAGAAAAGTGTTATAAAATTAAAAAAAAACAAAACAGTTTCAGATAAAATTTGGATAGTAAATAATGGAAATGATAACTGTATCTATTGGTGATGAAAAGGCTACTGAGTCAGCATCCCCTATCTTTTATGTGCTCCTTCAAAGAGGAAGGTATAGGTTTCATGATCTTGAGATGTATGTGTTAAAAATGAGTTGAAAATTTTATGGTTGTTAATGCCCCAAAATACACTGACATAGTCGATACTAATTAATGGCCTTTATTGTGAGGCACTTCCCTGAAAACAACTATATTCATCATGGTGATAATGCACCTGTACTCATGTACAGAGTCTGTCTGACAAAAACCTACAAGGTTATATCAATTGCACAGAATGGCCAGCACATTCTCCAGATCTAAATATTATTAAAAAACATTTGGTAGAGAATAAAACAAGAGACTGCAAGACTACCCATAATCAGCTGTTTGTCAAGATCAAATAGATTTGGAAAAAGACACTAGAACCATATTTGATATTTGTACACTTAGATTCAGGCACTTATTAAAGATGTTATCCAAATGAAGGGAAATTGGGCAAAGGATTAGGCAAGTTCAAATATTTTAGAATATTTGGAAAAATCTATTTGAAACATTTAAGTAGAGATTAAATAATTAAAAAAAAAATCTGTCCTTTGATTGCATTTATACAGTATATCCCTGATATACTTAATGCCTATTCTATAACAAAAGTAGATTTTAAAAATGTAGACATCACCAAAGACATTAGTAGAGTCTGTTCCAATTATTATAAGACTGTAAGTTACAACCTTTACCTCTCTCTTTTTTTTTAATTTCAAGAAGGAGTTAAATTCTCGGTATATAATGAAATGATATATGTACACGAGCACGTGAAGGCCTGGATCTATGTCGAATGTGAAGGATTGAATTACTTTTTACTGACGATAACACATAGTTGATGTTTGAGACTTACATCGGTTTCTCTTTTGAACTTGCTGTGTAATTTTCGAGACGCAAAAGCCATGTTCTTCCTTTGTTAACCAGAATGTACAATATTTTCACAGTCAGTTAGAATTAAGTTCAAAATGTAACGATGTCAAATGATTATTTTTGCTAGTTTTCTTTTCGCAACTCGGCCCAAAATGACACCGTTATCAGGTGTTTTTCTCATGTTGTCTCACAAAAAGACCGCATATAATGCTAAAAATAAAGGTGACAGGTGTTCTTGATGTCTCCATTCTTAAAGCCGTAGATGACACGTTTTAACAGAACTACACGGTACTATGAATTCGATGAGAAGCGGCACCCGACGTCTCAGTACTTCATGATTTGTTGATATTCCTCTGTGTGTAATGACAGATGTTATATATTGAGAACAGGAAAGAAGTGGAACGCAATTTCGCATATTGACTTAAGTGCGTAAAACCAAGCAGTTATACCATTTGGATAGATTTTTAAGAACACATAGCTTTATATGACAGTGTTTATGTTCCAGATAATGATATAGATGAGGAAATGTGTTGGTGGTGTTTATGATAGTATAGATTAAACTTTGAGTTGAATAATGGAAGTTAATTAACTTCTCTTATTTCATCGAGACGTGTGAAGTTGTGGTGATATACATGGTATTTTTATTTAAACTATGTGTTAACAAGATTTGTGGTCAAATAATTTTTCATATTACTCTGCACACTTTCAGATTAATCACACATTAAAAAAAATGCTAGTCGTTTTATGAGTCGGGGAATTGTGGACGTATAGAAGAAGCTACCAGTGCAAGTATTCCGTGCTGATGGGGTGAGTTGTGTAGTCCCGTTAAGGACGAAAAAGGTCCCCGAAATTCACAACACTGAAAACAGGCGCGACGATGTGAAGGACAAAAAACTGTCTAGCCTGTTATACCAGATTTATTTATTTATCACCACCAAAAACTATTGGGGTCGTTTTTCCCTAACTTGCACGCCTTCCATTTCACAACTTCGAAATTTAAATGGATGCCATTTTCTCTGAATGTCTAAACAAAGTCTAATTTTCATTTTGGAATCAGAAAAAAAAAATTAAAAATCGTTTTCTGATATTTAGAAGATCGATTTGAAAGTGGATTCGAAAGATTTAAAGAGTTATTTTCTTATATCAGGAAATAGTTGATGAATAACAAAAATAATTTTTGATATGAAAATAGATTTATTAATTAATTGTTGGAGCTGAAAATATATCATTGATCACACTGTGTTTGATTTAAGGCAGCACTAAATTTGAAAATCTGTTATTACATAATGAAGGGGAAATGCGTTCCGTCTCTTCTTCATGTCAATTCTGAAATATAGAGTAATTATATGTCGTAAAATTATTATGTCATTAATTGCATTGTAACATTAAATACAATTACATTTATGAATGTGAATTTAACATTCATTTATCATAATACTAGTGTTACATGTATGCTCGATTTTATTAATTTGCATTTATGAATTATTTGATACAACAATGTACCGGAAGTGATTCATTTTTGATACAACAACATTGCGGGAGATTTTACAGAAAAGTAAGAAACGTGTTGCAGGCGTCGCTTTCCAAGAAAGTAAACAGGCTGATAATTGGAAAATTGGCGGGAAGATATGGGAATGGATTTATAGGTGATTTTAAGGAAATGTTTTCATGATGATGGTATTTATTTATCCTCTTTTTGATACCACCACGTGACAGTAACTGAGAGTAGGACAAACGAATGTCGGACGCTTATAGTACGGTCACAAATCACTAAATGGCGCCTGCCGATGTGGTGATAGCCAGTTTTCACTCAAATTTGGCCGGTAGCAGGCACAATCAGGCATTTATGGCGCCGCTGAAGTTTTAAGAAAAAGTTTAAATTCTGTCTGCCACCGGCCGATTTTTTTCCCAATTGTACCTGTCGTCAGGGCGCCGGCCGGACAAATCTTGAAGTCGCGCGGTGGCTGTCAAGCGACAGGCGGGCTGCAGCGCGATTTTATTCGGTCATTGGGTTCGAGGGTCTTCATACTTCGGCTGGCGATAGGTAGGAGCTAACAGCCACTATCCAGCAACCGGCCTGCTGTCGTTATGCTACTGACATGCAATCGCAAGATTTCAAAATATCTGCCGGCGGCAGGGCGGAGATTGAAAGGCAGCTGTCAGTGTAGGTAGGTGGCAGACTAGCGATATGCCGAGTGAAGACTCCAGCATGTTGTCCTTCTGCTTGCCGTTGATTTAGGGGGCATCTTGTTGGAAGGAATTTTTTTTTTAATTTTATCTATTTATCTTGTGGATGATAATAATAATGTACACTTTGTAGTGATACAAGAGCAATTTAGATTTATATATCCCCCATAAACGAGCCTGCCGCCGTCAGATTATCAGGCAGGCACCAGCCGATGGCAGTTAGAACGGCAATCAGGCCTTCATGGCAGATGTCCGCCAGGTTGCAGGGCGGTGGCAGGTTAAATCTGACGACTGTGAATCTGTCGCCTAGCTGCCACTGGCCGACACCTTGATGACGTCGCGCACCCCATAAGAAACTACCTGGCACCACCCGAAACCCATCAAAGAGCATTTTACTGGCAAATTGTACTTGTGGCATGTATCGTTAATAATCCGCCGATGTCTAAAAATTGGCAAGCAGCAGTTTCACATTCTGATAGTATGCTAACTTGTCGCCCACTTGCGTCAATTTGTCAAATTTCAAAAATGATGTTTTGTTCCCAACTCAAGAAATGAGGTGAACTGGTCAAAACAAGTGAAGAAACCAAAACAAGAATGATTTATTGTTTTTTCATGTCGTGACACAAGAAAGGGACAAAGTTACCGGAATGAGAGTGAAATATTTTCCAAACAATTTCAGTAACTCTGGCAGGGATGTGTAATACAGAGGGATAAGAAACTCTCTATACTCATTTGTAACACTGTGACGAAGAAATACAAACAACTAGTCTCCCCTTTCTTTATAAACCATTTTTCTCCAACTAATCCTTTCTAAACGGTATTAAAGAGCTTAATTATACTATCTTTTGTGAATACTGCCCTATACTGTATACCACATTCTTATTTATTAGTATTAATTTTGTTATAAAAATGATCTTCATGGCTCCTTGAACAATCACAAAAGCTAACGCCAGAGAAGTCACCACTGGGACTAGTTTCCTATTCCTTTGTATCGTATGTTTCAGACTCCAACTAAACAAATTAAAAAAATTCAAACCAAATCTTCGTCAGAAAATATAAGTAGCCTTTACAAGTGCATAGCTCTTTGGCACCTAAGCTGAAATCATTAATTGATAGTATTTGGGAATCAAAATTATAGACCGGATCAAGTTATCTCCCTTTCCATACTTGTTGCCTTTTCTTTTTGATCTTTTCTATCTGAAAACCAGGAGCAGTGTTTCAGTTGGGAAATGGTCTTATTTGAGCAGGCTCTTCAAAATTTTCATGAAGTGATCAAATTCCAAGTGACTGGATGAGGAAGACCTATGGAGAAACCGTATATATTGTCCTAGTCAATTCTCCTAGAATGAGAGAAGATTTAGTTTTAGTTAAGAGTTACCACAAACCTCTACTTGATTACATCAAGTTAAACTAGATTCACACGTCACTTAGACCTTTTTTGTCTTTCATCGGTGAGACAACAGCATAGTAATGTCAGTGATATTCCTGCATAACTTGGGTTTCAACAAGACACTATATATACATCAATGTGGCAAGACTCCTACTTTACATTTACTTCAGCCTCATATAAAATAAAACTTATGCCTTGTTGCAGTCAGCTAGCACTGTTTTGGTAATTATGTAATAAAGTTAGCTAATGCTTCACTCATTTTAGGCTTTGCCTTCTCATATTATGAATTATTGCAAAGACATGTGGGGCGAGCATAATGTTATCTTGTTGGCCTGGTTGGTTAACTTGTTTTAAGTTTTTGGTCTCGTGTCTTAAGTTTTTGATATGGTAGGCCTTTATTAAAATTCATGTTATCTTCTACCTTTTCAAAGGTGAAAAAAAATTCAAACTTAAACGACTGATAGTATGGGTAAAAGTTAATGACTGATAGTATGGGTAAAAGTTAATGACTGATAGTATGATGACTGATAGTATGATGACTGATAGTATGGGTAAAAGTTAATGACTGATAGTATGGGTAAAAGTTAATGACTGATAGTATGGGTAAAAGTTAATGACTGATAGTATGGGTAAAAGTTAATGACTGATAGTATGGGTAAACGTTAATGACTGATAGTATGGGTAAAAGTTAATGACTGATAGTATGGGTAAACGTTAATGACTGATAGTATGGGTAAAAGTTAATGACTGATAGTATGGGTAAACGTTAATGACTGATAGTATGGGTAAAAGTTAATGACTGATAGTATGGGTAAACGTTAATGACTGATAGTATGGGTAAAAGTTTTCACATCTCGCATTGCACATGATATCTAAAGGGCTTGCTTTGCAAGAGCTTCTCAAGCTGCACCTTGGACATTTACAAGAATGTGTATAGACTGGCATCATACACCAAGTTATCCATCACCATTTGTTAGAATAATTACAAATATCATCAAATGGTGAGAACGTCAGATTTCAAGTAAACTATTATATAGATTGAATAAAAAAACAATTTATTACATAGGTAAGATTATAATTTTCAGAAGATCTGTTACACATCGTGATTACAGGTAATATGAGAATCTCTTGCTCAACTGCATGGGTTTCTTTGGATTCTCAGGTTTCCTCTCATGGCAAGAAGACCTCTAATGCTCTTTCGTCCAGGTCAACAAGAGTGAATAACCATAATGATAGCTTGGTTGTAAAATAACTAGTTCATATAACTATTGTATTTATTCATAGAATTACTAAAATCATATCAATGTACTTTATATTTAGATTTTTTCTACTTGTTTACCATAATACATATCTATATCAGAAACAACTGAAAATCAGCTGTAAAGGAATTATAAAGCCCCCTTCTGTTCAGGTGCAGACCACCCCATAGTCAGTCTAAGAATAAATGTAACATTTCCATGATATATGTTATCCTTTTCATTTAAAATGTTCCTGTTTCTTCCGTAGCTAAATAATGATGACAGGCGGGAATAAAACTAGTGGAAAGACAAAAACTGAAAAATTTCAGTTCGGTCCATGGACGTTAACGGCAACTGAAAGTCACATCCTTAAATCTGATGGACCTGAAAGAGAAAGGTATGTAAGTTTTGTTTGATGCACAAGTGACATGTAGATATACATCAATGCCATTTTTTAATATAACCTGCCACAAGCTGTTTTTAAAATGTCACAAATGACATGTTATCAGTTGAATGTATTTTTAAATCTGAACTTTTGTGACACTTAAGGTATTGCATTCAGTGAATGTTGCAAATAGTTTCCTATCAGCATCAGAGAATCTTAAAAAAGGCAAGTGCAGTGATAACTCATTTGGTGAAGAATCAGACTTTGAAATCTCAAGTGAAAGTCTAAAGTTTGTGGTTTGATTCCTACACTGGGTGCATGTTATTCAGTAATCACCAGCTACCACAAGGAGATATCACCAGCACCTGAAAATGGTCATGTCTGTTCACGAAGCAATAAACCCAGCAAAGAAACAATATTATCAGCTAATGTGTATATTATCACACCTGATGGATTGTTTTGGCTGAAAGCTAATCATGTGATTTCTTTTAAAATTTCTTTTATACAGTGGTAAGTTATCGCTATGATCTCGGTGCATCATATAATGTTTTAATATTATCTTTATTTATCTAAATGAATTTATCTTTAAAGGATCTGATGATAATAAATTTCTCATTTTTAATATCTTATATGATGGGTTATTTTCAGATTTGAAAGTCAGTTAGAATTGCCACAGTTTCCAGAGATGGTATTTGCTAATAACATACTTCGTGTGGAAAATATGGAAGGATTTGGAATAGAATTCAACACACTAGATGCACTGAAGATGGTTGATGCACACCATGATCACCTGAAGGTTGCAGTTTCTGAGGCATGGAAGGAAGCAAGGTAATTGATACCAAATCTGTTAGAATCAGGATCTTGGCAATACCAGGGATGTATAATATTATACGTCCCTGGCAATACTGATACTGACAACATGCATTTTGACTGCTAAGTCATAGGTGTTTTATTGTATATTGATTTGGTAACTTTGAAGAACTTCACTACAAGAATTATTATTTGAATAAGCATTGCTATTTTAATGTTAACCTTTGATTGTATAAAAGTTGGTGACTGAGAGGGGAATGTAAAACATGTCCATGTACAATTTTACAAGTAACTTGAGGTAAGTAACTAATGATACAGATTGCGTATAATCTATTAGAACTGGTCCTGGGACCATCCATATAGTTATTTTTCCTTTGTCTCTATTTTGTCATGCTGTCATATGTTTATCCCAAATTCTGTAGTTGGATATACCTGTTGAGATAACTCAGTGTTGTATATCAAATTCAGACAGGGGGACTACATATAGCTTACAACACTTGATCACGTACCAGGTTTATTTCAATGATTATAGAAATGTAAACAATGGATAAAAAGGGACGTAACTCTAAGACTTATTCTGTTTTATGTACACATCTGTAGGTTTCCTGTTCTGTATAAAGATAGAAATTTAGTACAGCTATTGATCTTTACAGATTTAATAACTGACCACATTATACACCTCATGGGTGAAATAAACATGTTCTGGACTACAGTTGTTTCAGTGAGGTGGTTTTCAAATGCAAAATAGCTAAATATTGTAAACTGAATCGGATTGATGTGAATACAAAAATGTATACTGTCTTAAACATATGTTATGTTCTTTAATTAAATAAATCAGTCTTAAGTCATTTTCCAAAATACTAATTCACAGGTATAAGTAAGTTTATGATGAAATTAAGCTATAACTGAGTTAAAGTATCAATGGGACAATTGAAATAGTTTACTTAGAAAGAAGGTTATATGTTGTCATGTTTCAGAGCTGATAGTGAACATATTAAAGAAGTGATCAAGCCATTTGATTGGACCTACACTACAGAGTACAAAGGCACTGTATTTGGTAAAGAGGGCTCTCAGATCAAGGTATCTACTACAGATAAACATTTGAGCACAAATATAGATTGAAGTAATTTTTTAAACAAGGAAATCATGTAAATCAGGTAATGAATGAAAAATGATGATATGTTGGATATCTTTTGTGATGATCTCTATTTAGTAAATTGTTACATTGTTTAACATGCTAGAATTAATTTTGTGTGAATGCTAATTCTTATACATGTTTACAATATGTTCTATAGTTATTTAATTTCATGTTTACAATATGTTCTATAGTTATTTAATTTCATGTTTACAATATGTTCTATAGTTATTTAATTTCATGTTTACAATATGTTCTATAGTTGTTTAATTTCATGTTTACAATATGTTCTATAGTTATTTAATTTCATGAGGCTTACAGTATGTGTTTGTCAATGTCAGTACTAGCTTTCATACACATACACATAGAAAATTTAGATTAACACTTTTTGAATGACCATCAAAATAGTAAAACCAAATCCCCTTAATTATTACCAGCCATACAGTAGTTTAGGTTCCTTTGGGTTATGTAAGGACTTCTCTGGTTTTTGTAGGTGTCTGACACAACAGAAAGAATAGATATGGAGAAACTGATGGTGAAGGAGAAAATCATGTTTTATGCTGACATCCTGTTGTTTGAGGATGAACTTGCAGATAACGGAACGTCCATTTTAAATGTGAAGATTGTAAGAACTTACTACTTCATCATTAACAACAGAACATCTTCCATTCAAATGCTCTTCATAGTTTTTTCATTGTGAAATGATAGTGTCTAGCTCTGGTCACTGGGTTCTTTATAGATGCTGAAAATAATTTTGGGAAACTAATGTATAGTTGAATGATAATCATCCATACAATGCTGTTTGAACAATGATTAAATAATCAGCCAAAGTGATGGCCTGTAATCAGCCAGTAACCGTGGAAAATAAGAAAACCTAGATATCTACATAGAGAATAAAAAACTCCAGCAATGTTTTAAAAGAAAACATAAATTTACCTTTGTTACATAATACTTGGTGGCATTCATTTCAGTTATTTGAAAGTTGCAAAATGACTGAATGAATTAAATCACCTAGAGAAATATGGAAGTGCCGACTGATCATTTTTAAGTGTAAATGTTAAGTGCGATTCTTCCATGACAAGTTTATACTTTGTTGAATATCTACACTATTCATCACCTGCAGAAGGGAAGTCAGACATTCTGTAAATGATAATACAGTTAAGAAGAGTGTTGTATATAATTGCTTTATGACAATTTACAGAGAGTCATGCCTACCAGCTTCTTTATCCTGATGAGGTTGTTTCTGAGAGTGGACAATGTGATGGTCAGGATTAATGACACAAGAATTTATCATGAGGTATTAGACTTATTTTTCAGAACAATGTCATCTTTTCATTAAAAATTAACTGAATTTTCTTAATTTATTATCTTTATATATTAAGTTATGTACTGGTATATGTTAACCTTTACTCAAAAAATGTTAAATAAATTTTCTAATGTATTGTTTGGCATAATTCAAACAGATACAGATTGTTTTAACCACTTTGTTTTGTATCTCAAGGCCCAGAACAACTTCATTTTGAGGGAATTCACTTCAAGAGATGATCAGATTAAAGATATCAAGGTACGACATAGGATTTATTCAATACCTAACTCTAAACCGACTTAATGTTGACGATACATGTTGAATACCTGCATCTCTGTCGACATAATTGTGACGATACATGTTAAATACCTGCATCTCTGTTAACATGTGTGACGGTACATGTTGAATACCTGCATCTCTGTCGACATAATTGTGACGATACATGTTGAATACCTGCATCTCTGTCGACATAATTGTGACGATACATGTTAAATACCTGCATCTCTGTTAACATGTGTGACGGTACATGTTGAATACCTGCATCTCTGTTGTGACGACATTGTAATTGAATACCTGCATCTCTGTTGACATACTTGTAACAATACATGTTGAATACCTGCATCTCTGTCGACATAATTGTGACATACATGTTGTACCTGCATCTCTGTTGACATACATGTTGAATACCTGCATCTCTGTCATACTTGTACATACATGTGTACCTGCACAATACATGTTGAATACCTGCATCTCTGTTAACATAATTGTGACAATACATGTTGAATACCTGCATCTCTGTTGACATACTTGTAACAATACATGTTGAATACCTGCATCTCTGTTGACATACTTGTAACAATACATGTTGAATACCTGCATCTCTGTCGACATACTTGTAACAATACATGTTGAATACCTGCATCTCTGTCGACATACTTGTAACAATACATGTTGAATACCTGCATCTCTGTTGACATACTTGTAACAATACATGTTGAATACCTGCATCTCTGTCGACATACTTGTAACAATACATGTTGAATACCTGCATCTCTGTCGACATAACATAATACCTGCATCTCTGTTGACAAATACATGTTGAATACCTGCATCTCTGTCGACAAACTTGTAACAATACATGTTGAATACCTGCATCTCTGTTGACATACTTGTGACAATATATGTTGAATACCTGCATCTCTGTTGACATAATTGTGACAATACATGTTGAATACCTGCATCTCTGTCGACATAATTGTGACGATACATGTTGAATACCTGCATCTCTGTTAACATAATTGTGATGATACATGTTGAATACCTGCATCTCTGTTAACATAATTGTGACAATACATGTTGTTAATTGTGACATACATGTTGAATACCTGCATCTCTGTTAACATAATTGTGACAATACATGTTGAATACCTGCATCTCTGTCGAACATAATTGTGACGTTGAATACCTGCATCTCTGTTAACATACATTGATCTCTATCGACATACGATGTTGAATACCTGTGACATCTGTTGAATACTGTTGACATCTCTGTTAACATAATTGTGACAATACATGTTGAATACCTGCATCTCTGTTGACATACTTGTAACAAGACATGTTGAATGCCTGCATCTCTGTTGACATACTTGTGACAATACATGTTGAATACCTGCATCTCTGTCGACATAATTGTGACGATACATGTTGAATACCTGCATCTCTATCGACATAATTGTGACGATACCTGTTGAATACCTGCATCTCTGTCGACATAATTGTGACGATACATGTTGAATACCTGCATCTCTGTTAACATAATTGTGACAATACATGTTGAATACCTGCATCTCTGTCGACATAATTGTGACGATACATGTTGAATACCTGCATCTCTGTTAACATAATTGTGACAATACATGTTGAATACCTGCATCTCTGTGTTGAATACCTGCATCTCTGTTAACATAATTGTGACAATACATGTTGAATACCTGCATCTCTGTTGACATACTTGTAACAATACATGTTGAATACCTGCATCTCTATCGACATAATTGTGACGATACATGTTGAATACCTGCATCTCTGTTAACATAATTGTGACAATACATGTTGAATACCTGCATCTCTGTTGACATACTTGTAACAATACATGTTGAATACCTGCATCTCTGTTGACATACCATAATGTGACAATACATGTTGAATACCTGCATCTCTGTTAACATAATTGTGACAATACATGTTGAATACCTGCATCTCTGTTACATACATTGTTGAATACCTGATCTCAATACATGTTGACAATATGTTGAATACCTGCATCTCTGTCGACATAGTTGTGACGATACATGTTGAATACCCGCATCTCTGTCGACATAATTGTGACAATACATGTTGAATACCTGCATCTCTGTTGACATACTTGTGACAATACATGTTGAATACCTGCATCTCTGTTGACATAATTGTGACAATACATGTTGAATACCTGCATCTCTGTTAACATAATTGTGATGACATACCTGCATCTCTGTTGAATACCTGATCTCTATCGACGATACATACATGTTGAATACCTGCATCTCTGTTAATTGTGACATAATTGTGATCTCTGTACATGTGACGATACATGTTGAATACCTGCATCTCTGTTAACATAATTGTGACAATACATGTTGAATTGCATCTCTGTCGATAATTGTGACGATTGTTGAATACCTGCATCTCTGTTGAATAATTGTTTATCATTAAAGTTTTTGATGTGATTTATAAGATATTGTCAAGTGAATTTTCATGTAAAATCTTTGAGATGGATGTAAATGAATGTTTTAATATATTATGACAGTATTTCAAATTAAATATATATGTTTTACAAACATTTTTAAGTTAAACTTCATTTCTACTTATTTGACCAGGCTCCCCCACATGTCCTGACACAACCAAATGAAGTCCAGAAATACCTGACTGTGCGGAAGGAAGTCTTTCAAAAATTGGAATTTCCAGCAGTGTCAAAGGACTCATTATCTGAACAGACCTAATTTGTGAAGCATAGTATACAACTTTTATCCATGGTGGACAGACAGTCGGATTCAAATGTGTTGGAAAAACATTGTTTTAGAGTTCATAAGACCATGAAGATATTGATTCTACTCTGTTTTAGAGCTAATAAGACCATGAAGATATTGATTCTACACTGTTTTAGAGCTCATAAGACCATGAAGATATTGATTCTACACTGTTTTAGAGCTAATAAGACCATGAAGATATTGATTCTACACTGTTTTAGAGCTAATAAGACCATGAAGATATTGATTCTACACTGTTTTAGAGCTCATAAGACCATGAAGATATTGATTCTAAGCCCTTATCATGTTTATTGTTTACGTTGTTGGTTTGTAAAAGCTTTAGAAGTTTATGACACACTTATTACATCCTTTCAAAGGCATGTTTTGGAAGGTCTAGATTAAAGAAACCTTGACTGTTTGGCACATTGCACCAAGCTGCTGTTATAGTGTGACATATCCACTGTGTAAAGTAAGGCAAGTGTGACTATCAGCTGACTGATACAGGCCCAAAATATTTGTCCATCAACTCTTATGGAGAAAGAAAAATTCCCTGGATCTGCCACTGGATTCGTATCTATAGTTTGACTATTAAAGACAGTTCGGAGGGATTGTCCATATGCTGAACAGAGCTGGAAGTTTATATTTTACTGTGATATGCCATTTAGCCCCCTTGCTGAAGTGAATCATCTCATTGAATTGTAGTATTTACCTTTCCCATCATCATACCAGAGGGGACTATTGGTTTGTATTCCATCCGATAGCCAGTTAACGTGTGATTCGTCCAAGGTATGACTCATATCTTATGTCTCTTTTAAGTTGTTATCACCAAATTTGGTATATGTGTAGTTTATTGTAGGTTATCAGAGCCCCATGCCTCTTTATAGAGTTGTGGCCCTTTGGATGCTGATGTTTGTTCACATGGGTACAATGCTGAAATTTATTAATGGGAATGAGACTAGATTGGTCTAGAAATGCCAATATTATGCTGAATTGTTCTGTTTTAATATACAGTTTAATGTATTGCAACAAACTTTGTGCAGGCACATGGTTTGAATTTGTTTGTTTGTATGTTTAAAGTAATTTGTTGCTGAAGATAATCCTGTTAAGTTACATCAGCATATTTGTTCAAATTACTGGCATTTACCCAAATTGCAAAGTGTATTAAATCTTTAAAAAAGCTCTTGTAAGGCTGTAAGCCATGAGACAAAGGATCAGAATATGTGCTCTGTAGTTTGTAGATTGGATTACTTATTTAGATTGAAGTTGTTAAATTTGAAAAAAAAAAACCAGTGAAGTTTATTGATTGGTTGCTGTGTACAGTTCAGATTTAAGTATCAGCAGCAGCAGCAGTATGACCAGACCAAGGCAGCCAGTTTGTCAGTATGATTCATGATGAAATTAGTTTAGTCAACATTTAAGATTAAAATATTTTGCTGTTCCTGACATTTCTACTAAATTTATTTCTGTTATATATAGACCTTACCCTCCAATGTCAGTAGGCACAACAAACTTTTTAAAACTACATCTTATTTCATCAATTGTATAAACACATATTCTGTGGATGATAAAAATGTCTATTAATTGTATGAACACCTGTAGTGCGGATTGTATGAATGTCTACTTTGTTAATTGTATGAACACCTATAGTGGTAATTGTATAAACACATATTCTGTGGATGATAAAAATGGCTATTAATTGTATGAACACCTGTAGTGCGGATTGTATGAATGTCTACTTTGTTAATTGTATGAACACCTATAGTGGTAATTGTATAAACACATATTCTGTGGATGATAAAAATGTCTATTCTATTAATTGTATGAACACCTATAGTGGTAATTGTATAAACACATATTCTGTGGATGATAAAAATGTCTATTCTATTAATTGTATGAACACCTATAGTGGTAATTGTATAAACACATATTCTGTGGATGATAAAAATGTCTATTCTATTAATTGTATGAACACCTGTAGTGTGGAATATATGATAACCTATGAAGTATTTGAACACCTGTATATTGGATTGTATGAATGCCTGTATATTGGATTGTATGAATGCCTGTATATTAGATTGTATGAATGCCTATTTTGTTAATGATATGAATGCCTGTATAGTGGATTGTATGAATGCCTGTATAGTGGATTGTATGAATGCCTGTATAGTGGATTGTATGAATGCCTGTATAGTGGATTGTATGAATGCCTGTATAGTGGATTGTATGAATGCCTGTATAGTGGATTGTATGAATGCCTGTATAGTGGATTGTATGAATGCCTGTATAGTGGATTGTATGAATGCCTGTATAGTGGATTGTATGAATGCCTGTATAGTGGATTGTATGAATGCCTTTATAGTGGATTGTATGAATGCCTGTATAGTGGATTGTATGAATGCCTGTATAGTGGATTGTATGAATGCCTTTATAGTGGATTGTATGAATGCCTGTATAGTGGATTGTATGAATGCCTTTATAGTGGATTGTATGAATGCCTTTATAGTGGATTGTATGAATGCCTTTATAGTGGATTGTATGAATGCCTTTATAGTGGATTGTATGAATGCCTGTATAGTGGATTGTATGAATGCCTGTATAGTGGATTGTATGAATGCCTGTATAGTGGATTGTATGAATGCCTGAAATGTTTTGTGTATCTATTGCTTGTTTTCGTTCTATTGGTCTGACATATTGTAAAATAACAGAACTGATTGGAAATCCTTAGGAAATCATGTTGACATGTATGCTATTTTAGATATTTGTCAGTTTGTATAAGAGGATGATACTATAGAATTGGTTTATAATTTAGGATGAAAATATTTTTTCATTGGTTGGCACTTTTGCAAATTAAAATTATTGTACATGACAGAGGATTAAATGATTATGAAATATTTCACATACATTAAATGAGTGCTACTGATTTCAATTTATTTTCAATAAATTTCAAAGGCTTATAAAAATGTTGTATTTTTTTTGAAGAAGAAAACTTCTGTTATTCAATTTTAATTGAATTTTAAAAAAGAGTTCAATATTCCAATTCATGTAAATAAGGTAACCCATTGAAATTGATTTCTTGTGGGGAAGTAAGAGTTATTTCCCCTGTTAAGGAAACCCTAAAAAAATTAAACCAAACCAAAAGAATCAGACAATTAAATATGTCTGTGGTCTAGGTTGAGAAAATTTTACAATTTGTTAGATGTACACATTTCTTCAATCACAGGTCAAGGAATGATGGACTGTGATTGCAACCCATAGAAAAAGGTATAGTTTTGGGAAAATGAGTGCATGTTGTCACTGTTAAGATCGTGATACAAAGTTTTGAAATATTTTCATACCATTATTAACCAAACATTAATCAACTGAAAAACAAGTCTGAAGACAAGCTCAAAACTTATTGGAATTTTATTGCAAAAAGAATAAAGAGCATGGAATAGAAACAGAGATAAGATAAAACTACAATGTACAATTATGTAAAATTCTATATTCTGGGCAGAAACAAAAAGGCATTGAGACAATGGCAGTTAGAAAAAGGTCATACAATCACACAGGATAAATGTTGTACAGGATTTAGTGGCACTCGCATGTACCTTACAGTACTGATATTGCAAAAGGCACTGAGATACTAATACATATAGTAACTCCCTGTTGTAGCCAACATATTAGATTAATTATGATAATACAGTTCCTTGGGTATGAGATTCCGTTACCAGTAAGTCAACCGTTTAATACATCATTTTATATAGATCTCTGTACACTCAGACAATTGATGGAGATATTAAAACTACAATGTTGTTCATTAAAAGTAATGATAAATAGGGAAAAATTCCTTTCATTAAATCATGTATTATTACACGACAATGTATGAGAAAAGTACAATTGTTACAAACATACCACATGTATAATACTTATTAATATGTCTGATCCCTAAAATAGCATGGAAAGGCAGCCAATAAATATATTGTAAGTAAAATACAGTAAAAAGTTAACAATAATTACATCAAAAATCAACGTACCAACAACTATATGTATCAACATCTTCCAATCAAAATATTTTATTGTCGAGTTAGCATTGATAAATATCACCATCAAGATATATGTCTAAAAAAATAAAGATCAGTCAGTGATTCAGCATCAATTTGGACACATTTCAACTACTGCTGTAAATTAAAGAATCACAGTCATGAGAATCACCCTGATTGACTATTTAAACCCTGCTTTATATAAATACCTATATATATAATAAATATATATGTATCTCCCTCTATCAATCGTTTGGTAAGGCTATTTTTAGCAATAATACATCATAGTTTTGGCTACTTTGTATATGAATAGAACAAAAATATATATAAAACAAGAGATGGTATCATTATTAGTTAACATATCTCCTGTAAATTTAGATACTTCACAGTTCAACAATATTATTAGTAATTATCAATTCATAAGACATATGATTCATAATATGATAGTATAACTCATTGTGATGTTGGTGAATAATTTGTAGTAAGAACTGCAAAGTTATAATATGGTCAGGAGTGGAAATGTGTGGTGAAAACATAAATTTTGGCCAGCATATATTTTTTAAACATATGTTTTAATACCGTTAAAATACTTTTACATTTACAATATTAAAATAAAGAATTTCAAAATACAGTTAGGGTTATCAACAAGACAAAAATATATGTTTGGTTATTTCTTCTGTGGATTTGTGCTGCAGGTGGCATTTAAAGTGAGACATAATTTCAAAGACCAGTTGGTTTGCTCTGTTTGAGAAATCACATCACAATAATGGAGGAGATGATTAATTAAAATTCCCATTCATTACTAGTCTACGTAAATATATACAAATTGATAAGCAGACTTCTAACATAAATATATTAATACTACTCACTAAGCAATATTAAAGAAAAAGTTATCTAATAACTTCTTGACAATTTTTTATTTTCAAGGAAAGGAAATAATCCTGGTATAACTATTTCTTATTTGAATAGTTTCACTAATTATTTACCTATTTTTCCATATGCTATAGTTTAATCCTACTGACCAGTATGAAAACTACATACAAATGTCATATAACCCTGAAAGGTGTCCAGCAAATTTATCACTATTTATCTTCAGATACACAGTATTATGATAATACAAAATAGTTTGGTGTGTGTACTGTGTTGAACAAAAATTAATTGAAGTTTGTAAACTTGTAGAACTTGCTAAATGAGCAGTTTAATCCAGAAGATATCCTTCAGAATTTATATTCAGGAGTCTGACATTCTAACTGAATTTGGATTTTCAATTTATGAACATGATCTTTTGATTAGATTGGAAGTCAGACTAAATGTATCAGTGGATCAGGAGGGCACTAGATTTGTACCCCTCATCCCCATCTATTCCATCCTTACCATTTGATGTCAAGGGTACCCTGTCAGTTTTCTTCAAATCATTACAGTCAATTCAAACATTGGATGTAGGTGGCTGGGGGATTGTACTGATTAACACCAACACTGGCACTAAAATAAGACAAGTTTGGGACATTAAGAAATTACAAGTCTTGCTAACAGTTCCATTTGTTGTAAGTTATTACAGAGATACTGGGGTTTACTCAGGTTCAAGTTTTGAAGCTGGCTACTGAATAAGTTGTCTGATATTAGAATAAATAAAACAGTGCTATTGAAATAGTTTATAGGATGGCATTTTAAATACCGCTACAATTTTTCTTCTTCTGAATGTGAATTGAATAATAGGTACCTAATGGACCAGTTCTAACCAGGTTAATTATCCTAACAGTGTTGTAGACAGGAGTACCTGAATTAACAAGATGACACAACACTTACAAGATTCCTTTGATAAATTTTTATAAGTTCATTTATTTTGTACAGTTGTATTAGTAACACTTGTATTTATGCTTGAAGCTAATGTCATCAGAGCTCTGAGACATTTTTAAAACATCTTTATTGAACATGAAGATATACGAATGACCCTTACCACATGTGTTCAGGCAGGTAGTCTGATTAAATATCACAGATATGCAAAAAAATAAAACATAAAGGAGAAAAGTATTGTCGCTATACACATAAAGGTATAATTTAATAGATTAGATATCAACATTTTTAATACCATGGGACTTTCCCTAATTCATCTCAACAAACACTCCTGGGTTCTACTGAAAGTGTCCAACATTGCTATTCAGTGCTCTATTTGCCTTAAGTTCGTGTTTGTTTCATGATTTATATGATGTCCATTCTATTATTGAAAATCAGTCTTTTGAAAGTTCTTCAAGTGCATCACTTTCTCAACCATGGCATCCTCACTATTTTTTCACTGTCAGGCCAGTCATATCGTACTTGATATTCTGTGTTGCTAGGGTCATAGGTGGCACGACCTAGGGGTCGCTGATGCAGGGTGAAGTCAGGGGAAGGGTTGATGTTGAAGGCACTAGTTGGTATATCCATTGGAGGGCGCCCATATTTGGTCATGTACTCTGTCCTTCCAGGGAAGGTTGTGTTGATGCCTGCCTGTTCCTGTACAGAAAGTGTCTGCATGCTGTGTGGTGATGTCATCTTTGGACGCTGTAGACCAGAGGAGTTGGCGTTGTATGTGTTCTGGCTCTTGAGTTCCAGGAGTTTCTGGCTGTAGGATGGTGGATTTTCTTGACCAACGCTGCTACTAAATGGGTAAAGTGTGTCAATTGTCCTGTATCCTGCAAAATAGAAAGATCATGGTCAGCACAATGCTTGTTCCATTTAAGAGGGGATTCAGCTTGAAGTTGATAATGATGCTAACCATTCATAGGACGGAATGGGAAAAAAATCTATTTTTTTTCCTGTGTTCACTACTTATCTTACTTATGTATTTGTCCTGCAATGACCTGAAGTGGACAACACATAAACTGAACAATAAATCCAGATACACTTGTTGCAAGACAATATCACACTTTTATAGTCATTTCTACCAAAACTTCTTTATTACCAGGCATGGTAGGCATTATACCCTGATAAATATGGCAAATGATTAAAAATGATTCTCAAATTGACAGTAACCAACTGAACCACCAGCTTTAGTGATTTCTTGTCTGTGATTTTTGAATTTGATAAGTTTTTGTGTGTTGTGTAACATACATGTATCCAGGGTCCAGGTCTGATAATTATCACAAGCATGCCTGTCTGGTTGTTTGGAGTGGATACAGTTACTGATGTTAATATTAATAGGTATAGAAGTGGTGACAATCATGTAAGTTTTGCTGGCTCATACAGAGAGTCTCTGTTTAAGAATGGTGACAACAATACACACTTCTATATACTGTACCTGCAGGTATAAGCCTACTTAGTAACCTTTTACGTACCTAAGTGGATTCAGTGGGAGTTTTTATGTAATAACGGTGTTTAACAATCGGATCAATTTAGAAACACCATTGCAATGAATTCAAATCAATGTTATATATCTATATCTGTTGTGGTCAAAAAGTGGAAAATGTATCATTTTCACAGAAAAAAAATCTGAAATGACTGACTGATATTACAATTTTATAAATGTTACAATTTCTAAAAGTTCAGTTTTGAATTTTGTTTTCACTAGCTATATAAATGGATTTAGAATGAATGTAATACAAACCTTATACCTAGTATCATAGACAGTACTGACTTAATTAATAACCAGGTAACTTTGTTAATAACAAAACACCTGTATCCAGACACAGGTTAAAACGGGTAACATTAACCCTTCCACAAATAACTGTAGATTTTTTCACCAAAAATCCTTATCACATCCTGGTGTGTATCACTGAGAAATACAAACTATTGGTATCACAGACTTGTCACCATCAAACAAATTATATATCAATTAAATTATCAATGAAATATAAACACTTGCCACATAATGTGCTGCCAATCCAGGGTAACTTGTTTTGTTGTATGTAAGAGCGATAGGTCAGATCGTTGCCAACTAGAGATGGAATATGTGTATCAATACGTTGATATACTTCATTGGTTTTCTATTGTTGCAGTATATACCTGCACACAACACAATACACCACACCTGAGTAACTTAGTTCACAGGTAGATCAAGTCTCGTTAAAACCAAATGCTATAAAGGTATTAAATATTTCAGTAGTTTGCTCTAGCCATACCTGGTTCTTTCAGCTCCACCACGACTGAAATACACTATATACCTGTACACAGTGGGTAGTGCCTAGCTGATTAAAAATGTGGACGGTATTTAAATGTATAGAAAAACGATTTGTTATGGCTGTAGTTCCATAAACTTAGTTAATCAATAGATAATATTTATAAACATTCTACTGGTAGGTGGAGGTCTGGGGCTTTATTCCTACACTTTCTCCAGCCAGATCTCTACATAAAGACCTGTATAATCAACTCTCATTTACAACACCTTGAAAAGTCAATAATTTGAAGTTCTTCTGAATTTAAATGTTTGCTGCCAATAAGATGTTTTCATTTAGAAAGGCTATTCAAAGGTTTAAATATGATATATATACATCTCTATATTGTAGATTTTCGATATTACAAAAATGAAATGTTTACAAAGTAGTACTAAAGATACAATAGTGAAAAGCACCTTTAGTACAATTTTGGCATACAAACAGCAACATACATGCTATTTTGTCTTTCTAAATCTTGTAAGCAATGTTAAGTTCTGGTACCACTATGTGTCCTATATGAGAGAATTTAGACAAAATCGCCCTTCTTGCCAATTGTTTCCACAAAAGTTGAACCCAGGTCTTAAGTCAAAGCTCTACAACCAAAGTCAATGGAGCATGTGCCATCCGCAAAGCAACAGGGCCTCAGACTGTACTAAACATTATACAATCCACACCAGACTACTAAACATTATACAATCCACACCAGACTGTACTAAACATTATACAATCCACACCAGACTGTACTAAACATTATACAATCCACACCAGACTGTACTAAACATTATACAATCCACACCAGACTGTACTAAACATTATACAATCCACACCAGACTGTACTAAACATTATACAATCCACACCAGACTGTACTAAACATTATACAATCCACACCAGACTGTACTAAACATTATACAATCCACACCAGACTGTACTAAACATTATACAATCCACACCAGACTGTACTAAACATTATACAATCCACACCAGACTGTACTAAACATTATACAATCCACACCAGACTACTAAACATTATACAATCCACACCAGACTGTACTAAACATTATACAATCCACACCAGACTGTACTAAACATTATACAATCCACACCAGACTGTACTAAACATTATACAATCCACACCAGACTGTACTAAACATTATACAATCCACACCAGACTGTACTAAACATTATACAATCCACACCAGACTGTACTAAACATTATACAATCCACACCAGACTGTACTAAACATTATACAATCCACACCAGACTGTACTAAACATTATACAATCCACACCAGACTGTACTAAACATTATACAATCCACACCAGACTGTACTAAACATTATACAATCCACACCAGACTGTACTAAACATTATACAATCCACACCAGACTGTACTAAACATTATACAATCCACACCAGACTGTACTAAACATTATACAATCCACACCAGACTGTACTAAACATTATACAATCCACACCAGACTGTACTAAACATTATACAATCCACACCAGACTGTACTAAACATTATACAATCCACACCAGACTGTACTAAACATTATACAATCCACACCAGACTACTAAACATTATACAATCCACACCAGACTACTAAACATTATACAATCCACACCAGACTGTACTAAACATTATACAATCCACACCAGACTGTACTAAACATTATACAATCCACACCAGACTGTACTAAACATTATACAATCCACACCAGACTACTAAACATTATACAATCCACACCAGACTACTAAACATTATACAATCCACACCAGACTGTACTAAACATTATACAATCCACACCAGACTGTACTTAACATTATACAATCCACACCAGACTGTACTAAACATTATACAATCCACACCAGACTGTACTAAACATTATACAATCCACACCAGACTGTACTAAACATTATACAATCCACACCAGACTGTACTAAACATTATACAATCCACACCAGACTGTACTAAACATTATACAATCCACACCAGACTGTACTAAACATTATACAATCCACACCAGACTGTACTAAACATTATACAATCCACACCAGACTGTACTAAACATTATACAATCCACACCAGACTGTACTAAACATTATACAATCCACACCAGACTGTACTAAACATTATACAATCCACACCAGACATTATACAATCCACACCAGACTACTAAACATTATACAATCCACACCAGACTGTACTAAACATTATACAATCCACACCAGACTGTACTAAACATTATACAATCCACACCAGACTGTACTAAACATTATACAATCCACACCAGACTGTACTAAACATTATACAATCCACACCAGACTGTACTAAACATTATACAATCCACACCAGACTGTACTAAACATTATACAATCCACACCAGACTGTACTAAACATTATACAATCCACACCAGACTGTACTAAACATTATACAATCCACACCAGACTGTACTAAACATTATACAATCCACACCAGACTGTACTAAACATTATACAATCCACACCAGACTGTACTAAACATTATACAATCCACACCAGACTGTACTAAACATTATACAATCCACACCAGACTGTACTAAACATTATACAATCCACACCAGACTGTACTAAACATTATACAATCCACACCAGACTGTACTAAACATTATACAATCCACACCAGACTGTACTAAACATTATACAATCCACACCAGACTGTACTAAACATTATACAATCCACACCAGACTGTACTAAACATTATACAATCCACACCAGACTGTACTAAACATTATACAATCCACACCAGACTGTACTAAACATTATACAATCCACACCAGACTGTACTAAACATTATACAATCCACACCAGACTGTACTAAACATTATACAATCCACACCAGACTACTAAACATTATACAATCCACACCAGACTGTACTAAACATTATACAATCCACTGTACTAAACATTATACAATCCACACCAGACTGTACTAAACATTATACAATCCACACCAGACTGTACTAAACATTATACAATCCACACCAGACTGTACTAAACATTATACAATCCACACCAGACTGTACTAAACATTATACAATCCACACCAGACTGTACTAAACATTATACAATCCACACCAGACTGTACTAAACATTATACAATCCACACCAGACTGTACTAAACATTATACAATCCACACCAGACTGTACTAAACATTATACAATCCACACCAGACTGTACTAAACATTATACAATCCACACCAGACTGTACTAAACATTATACAATCCACACCAGACTGTACTAAACATTATACAATCCACACCAGACTGTACTAAACATTATACAATCCACACCAGACTGTACTAAACATTATACAATCCACACCAGACTACTAAACATTATACAATCCACACCAGACTGTACTAAACATTATACAATCCACACCAGACTGTACTAAACATTATACAATCCACACCAGACTGTACTAAACATTATACAATCCACACCAGACTGTACTAAACATTATACAATCCACACCAGACTGTACTAAACATTAT